GGGGGGGGGGTTGTGAGCTGGGGAAAGGAGAGAGATAAGTGAATGGATGGATTGCATGCATGTATGATACGACGACCACTTTTCCGTTCCCGTTCCCATTCCACCTTGTTCTTGTTCGTTCTTGCTCCCTCATATTGACTGATTTCTTTTTACCCCATCCATCCACCACCGTATCGTTTGATTATTTGATTCGTGTCTCGTTCTTACATCTCCGTTTCCCTGACGTTCTCTTTTCTCTCTCCATTTCTTTCCACTGCTCTTGTCTTACCCTTCTATAACGATACTTCTAATTTCTACTTGATTTCCACCTTCTACTTCACCTTCTACCTTCTACCTCAACCTTCACCTTAAACTCCCTATTCGAACTCCCTATCCATCCTCTGCCCTCTGCCCTCCGTCCTCCATCCTCTGCTCTCCGTCCACCCCCCCTCCTCCTGCCGGCCTCGTTCTCGTTTTTCGCTAGACAGATGCAAACCAAACCAAACCGAATCGAACTGAATTGAACTGAATGAAACCAATGAAAGCAATGTACTCTGTACGGTTTTCTGTTTTGGTGTCTGTCGTTGTCCAGGCGTCCGGGCGTCCATGCGTCCGGGCGGTTATTTGTGTTTTGTGTCCGTTCGTTCGTTTGGTGATCGATTGGTTGGTGGTTAGTTTGGTGAGATGGTTGGTTGGTTGGTTGGTTGGTTGGTTGGTTGGTTAGTTTGGTGAGTTGGTTCGTTTGGTGGTTGGTTGGTGAGATGCAGTAAGGGAGGAAAGTGAAGACTCGTTAAAAAGAGAGGAAAGTTCAAGGAGGAAAGAGCGAGAAAGAGTCAGGTACACCTTTTAGGCTTTAGCTGTCACGTCACGATACAGAGCATTATATCTTGAGGATATCTGTTTAGGTTTTCGGTCCATCGATTTATAGGTAGAGTACAATTGTCTTAAAAACGACCCAAACTACCTCCTGAACTTCTCCTGCACTAAGTATTGAGGCCTTGAGGTGCCACATCTTGACCTACCGACGCCACACCGGCGTCTTCTCTAGTTCCCACGCTTTTCTTAATACGTAGAAGTTGATGCACGGACACGTGAGCGACGCGTCTATCGTTCGAGAATCGAGATTCCGGTTCCGGTTCTGTCTTGTTCCTCAAGTTGTCCGTGTTCGTGTCCGTGTCTGTGTCTGTGTCTTCCGATTCGACTTCGCCGCTGGAGGCTTCTCCTCATCCCCACCGTATCAACAAAGCTAACCCCATCCCGCACCGAAGACCCATGCCTCCGAAACGTAAATCCGCCCCCGCCGCCTCCTCTTCCTCCAATCCAAAGTCCAATCCCAAATCCAAAGCAAATCCACAAAAGAAACCGCGCCTCACCCTCGACGCGTTCTTCTCGCCCAAAGTCCCCGTGTACGCCAATGCTGGTATCAACAGCTTCTCCGGCGGCGGCGGCGGTGAGGACGGGGGCAAGGAGGGTGAGAGGGGAAAGGGGAGGGCGAGGGAGAGGGAGAAGGTGTGCGAGGTGGTGTTGAGCGATGAGCAGAGGGGGGTGTTGAGGATGGTTGTTGAGGAGGAGAGGAGTGTGTTTTTTACGGGGTCGGCGGGTGAGTTCTTGAGTTTTCTTTCTTTTGTTTTGGGACTCTGGATTGCATTTTGGTCGTATGGGTGGGTGTACGATGGGTCTGGACTCTGCACGCCGATTGCGTGCCAACCTAAGTCTTCGATATTCGGAGGATGGCAGGCGGATATTATGTGACATGTAGGCTATTCATGGACGCTCGTCAGTTCGACGACCTTGTGCCATCGTCATTATCGTTCAGCCTCCTTGGATTTGTTCTTCACGAGCCCTATGTGGTCGGTTCATACCGGTCTTGAACAGGGACTTCAATGGCGCAGGCTGTCATCTCAATGTTTCCTGCAAGGAGGCGATAGGCTCAAATGAATGATGGGCTAAGAACTAAACGTGCACGGGCAACAGCTCCGTTATTGTTTCTCGGTGCAGATGCATCATTGGTCGTGCATGGATCCATGACCTTTTCCCCTCTTGTCCCTCTGTCAAGCTCCATTCAAGTCAAACTGTGTGTTTGAAAAGAGACCCGCCCACTCTCCACGTATGTTCGAGCCTAACAATTAGGAGATGGACAGGCCGATTATCGTTATGGATGAAGATCAGTTTGGTCTTGATTTCGCTCCATACTCTGTGTTTGTTTCGAGAGGTGCATGCAAGTTTTCGTGCTATTTAAGCCGGCCGTGTGTCTGGTGTTTGGGTTATTACCCTAGGCCTGCTGAACATCGTACGATGTGTTATATTCTTGTTGATCCCCGAAACGTTGCTGCCTACGAATACACGGGCACACACGGTTCTTAACCTATGAACCGTCATGTACCATTCCAGTGTATCTATAACCCTATTGACACGACCGCCACTGACCTCCATTTTTCGCCCTGCGTTGATTATAGGGACCGGGAAATCCCTCCTCCTCCGTGCCATAATCACAGCACTCCGGAAAAAACACGCAAAGAAGAATGGCGCTGTTTCTGTTACAGCAAGTACGGGCATGGCCGCTTCGAACATTGGAGGTAAGCTACTTACACTTTGAATCCATCATCCACTCTTTCCTCACTCCTGCTCCTTCTTACTCCTGCTCCCCATGGTCCTTCCGCCCTGCTGATACGACGACGACGATAGGCATGACGATCCACTCCTGGGGCGCGATCTCGCCCATGGTCGAAGATGTGGAGAAACTCATAAGAGACATCAGGACCGCGAGACCGGCGTTGCAGCGGTGGAGGGAGACGAAAGTTTTGGTGATTGACGAAAGTGAGTCGTTTGTGCCACCGACCAGTGTCGCCGTTGCTCCATCGGGAAGAGAACTGTGCGAGAATGCTGACTTTTGTTGGGCGTGAGCTTGTAGTTTCGATGGTCGACGGGCACCTTTTTGAGCGGATGTGCAGACTCGCGGAAAGACTGAGAAAAGCGACGGACAAGCCATTTGGCGGTATCCAGGTTCGTCCGTCCGAATCCGTGGTGGACTCCCTCCTTCGAATAGATTTATGACTAGAGTTGTTCGTTTGTTTGTAGCTTGTCGTGACGGGCGATTTCTTCCAGCTTCCGCCTGTCACGAAGGGGAACGAAGTCCCGTTCTTTGCGTTTGAATGTGAGGCGTGGAAGAAGTGTATACAGAAGACCGTGATGCTGAACAAGGTATTCAGGCAGAAGGATAACCGTGCGTCTCTATCGATTTCTCACCCGTCCGCTCGACGGTTGCTGACGATGGCGGCATTTAGAATTTGTGGATCTATTGAATGAACTAAGACATGGGAATATATCTCCCAAGACGACGGCTGCGTTCCGTGCGCTTTCGAGGCCGTTACCTACAACTTCGCCATCGCCATCACCTTCCTCATCACCATCATCTTCTACCTCTTCATCCACATCTACGACTCCCTCTACCACATCTTCCCTCTCCCTCGCCGCCTCCACCTCCTCCTCTACAACCCCCTCTTCGTCCTCCCCGTCCATTCCCAACACCCAACCCATCTCGACCTCCTCGACCTCCATCCCACTACCCCTCCCCCTTCCAACCGAACTCTTCCCCCTCCGCCGCGAAGTCGAAACCGCCAACACCACCCGTCTCTCCTCCCTCCCATCCGCACCCCACATCTACACCTCCCGCGACTCCGGCTCCGCCGCGCCCGAACGCCGCAAGAAAGTCTTAGAGGGGATGATCGTGCCGGAGAAAGTGATATTGAAGGTCGGGGCGCAGGTCATGCTTTGTAGGAATGTGGAAGAGGGGAGGGGGTTGGTCAATGGTGCTGTGGGGAGGGTTGTGGGTTTTTTCAGGAGCGTGACGGGGGCCGGGAAGAAGGAAGAGGGGGTGGTTAGGGATTTGTATGTTGGGGAGGATGGGGAGGTTTGTTGGGTTGGGGAGTGGGAGAGGGTGAAGGAGAATGTGAAGCCGGAGAGTGGGAGGGGGAAGTCGAAGGTAGAGGTGGACGTGGACGTGAAGGGCGAGAAGCCGGAGAGCACGACGAGCGCGAGTGCGAGTGCGAAGGGAAAAACGAAGGAAAAGATATCGGACGAATTGTACCCTCTTGTCGAGTTCTCGACGCAACAGGGAAGGGTGACGGGTCTGGTGACGAGAGATGAGTTCAGAGTGGAGGATAACGAGGGGAATGTGCTCGCGAGACGTGTTCAGGTACGTTGGCAACCTCTCGTTCTTCTCATACTGGAGTGCAATGATGGATTGACGGGTAACTCGGTTTGGATCGAAGATCCCGCTGATTTTGGCCTGGGCGATTTCGATACATAAGAGCCAGGGACAGACGATTCAGAGAGTGAAGATCGACCTGGGTAGGGTGTTCGAGAAGGGTGTGTTTCTTTTCCATTCATGTCATCCGACTGAGTGTCAGTCAAAATAATGGGCGACTGGGCAATATAGGTCAAAGCTATGTAGCGCTCTCGAGAGCTGCATCCATGGAAGGCCTTCAGGTGCTAAGGTTCGATCCTAACCGAGTACGTTACGCCTGTTCCCTTAGGCATCGTGGAGTATGACGATTGGAACTGACTGGCCTCTGTTTCTAGGTCAAAGCACACCCCAAAGTTATCGAATGGAGCAAGACGCTCACGACTCTAAGCTGACCTTAAATATTGAACACACTCTCGAGATATATTTAGCTGTTGGTCGCACTCGTAAAGACTCGGACGACGAGGTTTAATCGCATTGGTGTAAGATGACCGGTGTCGTCCACTGATTTATAACATTTATCTATATCCCGTAGCATCTGCACGTTTTGAATGTAGCCGTAGCCGTACATTGAAGAGTACCCGTCGCGGGTCCCGGGGGCCCTCAGTTCAGTCTTTTTTTCTGCGTCACTTCTTTAGGGTGGCCCGGTTCCCCAATCTTTGGACTTCAGCGTCAAACTATTCTAAGCGGAGTTCCAACGTCATGGTATAACTCGAGTCATCATCATGACGCGCAATGCAGGTGACTTTGGGCCGATGGGAACCGCTGAGCATGTTGATTTAGGATGGAGTATCAAACACGCAAAGAGGTATTTCCACACGCTGAATGGAACTACTGTTGCATAACAATACTGACGCAGATCCTTGTTCTCTAGCAGCCTCTCAGACCGCTAGTTTGTCTACGCTCATTCATAAGCCCGATTGATTTGGTACAACCTAGGCCCACTTTCTCATACTCTCATCATATGCCCTCCACATAACCTCAAGGATGAGCTCTTGTGGGGAATAGAAGACGAAGATAGTACTTGCCGACTTATCATGTGTTATGCCTCTGGGTCTTACGATGGCCCACTGCGTTACCGAACTCAATCGCGAGACCCGACTGCTGTTTCTCATGATGGAGGCGTTAACCTTGGCCCTTTTCATTCTCACAATCAGCTTCTTCGGCCTGGATCTACGGTGTTATTACACCACCCTCCCCACCCATGGGCCTCATAAATAACCACCATCACCACTGACAGCATCAGAGCTCTCAGAATCACCCCCAGCCACAGCTTTTCTTGTTGCTTGTCAAAACAGATTCTACGGAATGCCTGCACTCAGTTACCCAGCTTTTCCAGACGACGTGCCCACGGTCCCACTCTTGGTCATCGACTACGAGCTCGTCAAAGCCAAAGACGAGAATGAGATCAACAGACTCTGGGAAGCGGCGACGAAGCTTGGTTTCTGGTACTTAAAGAACCACGGTGTAGATGACGAGGTGAACGAGATGTTCGAGATGGGCAAGGAGACGATGAGTTTGCCGCTGGAGGAGAAGATGAAGTATGAGCAAGGGGATGAGGGAAGTTCATTCGGGTGCGTGGTGTTTTCGACTTCATCTCAGGAAATTGCTTGATGATTGAGATGTGGACACATGCTGATGGATCCTTTGGTGCGAACTGTGATGCAGGTATAAATATGCCGGTGCAAACGCCACGGATGGTACAGGTGCCCCCGATCTCGTTGAATTCATCAACGTTTCCAAAGACGATGCGCTAGCCTATCCGACGCCGGTGCATCGCACGTACCCATCCACCGTCAACGCGCGTATGGAGTCCACTATCCAGCCATTTGTTCGCAAGTCCGTGGAAGTGAACCTTACGTTGATTGAGACGCTGAATGATAAGCTCGGACTGCTAAAGGGTGAGCTGGCCAAGAGACATAGGTTGAAGGACCCGAGCGGGAGCGAATCGAGATGTATCAAAAGCCCGAAGAATCAGGAGATGTCGGCTGAGAAGGCTGCAATTGGGGCGCATACTGATTTCGGGTCGATGGTAAGTCATTGCGAGACCGCCCGGCGACAGCATTAAAATTTCGTTGACGTTACCGACGCTTACGATAATCCATGTAGTCGTTCTTGCATAATAGACTCGGCGGGCTTCAAGTCTTGCCTCCCGGTTCAGATGGATGGAAGTTCGTCAGGGTAAGTTAACCTTCTCTTCTTCGCTCGAACCTGCCGTCATCTGAACCCACAATGGAAACGCATTCCACCGAACAGCCAATTCCCGGCCACGCAATCTGCAATCTGGGAGATGCGATGGCAATATTCAGCGGAGGGATCCTGCGCTCCAACCTACACCGCGTTGTTCCCCCACCGAAATCACAGTCCGCGTACGACCGTTGGTCCCTCGTCTTCTTCACTCGTCCTGCGAACTCTGCTATCTTATCCGCGTTGAAAGACGAGAGCGAGATGATCAGAGAGGCAGTGGAAAATGCGAATGAGAGAGGGGAGAAGGGGAAGTATGAGACGGGGGTCACGAGTGGGGAGTGGTTTGCTCGTCGAATCAAATACCAGAGGATTAAAAACAGAACGGTGAGTAGTACCGAGCGCTAGAGTCAAAATCTCCTAGTTGGAACTGATTGTTGACTCTAAATAATAGGGCCCGGAAACGTGGAGAGCTAGTCGAGGGACAGAGCATAAGGATGACACCGTCAACGTTGGTGCTTGACTGCCGTCGTTTAGCGATTCGTGGGTCTCTGTGTCGCTGTACGATATTGTTTGAGCTGCAGACGTCTGTAAGTTTGCTGTCAGTTTACCGACTTCAATGGGATTACTGTCTTGCACTTCTCCGAAGCTGCCAAGACCTCACCGCTGTGGTAGACAAGGTTGCGTCTTATAATGCTACTAATATAAAGGGTACACTGCTTTTGACTCTCTGGAAAATCCAGGGCAATCTGTTGTCAACATTGAAAGAGCACGCTAGGGAATTACAAATGAATACAGCGAGGGCTCAGCAACCACCGAACCATGTTGTCCAGATCGAGCATTGAACAGAGTAAGAAAGGTGACGATCATACAAGTCGGCCTTCGGAAAGGGACTCGGGATCGATCTCGCGAGCCACAGGTCTCCACTCATTACGGTCGTCCACAGTACCAGGCGCGGTGGAGTCGGGATGCGTTCGAGGAACCGTCTCAATGTCAGATCCGAGCTTCTCCATCGCGGCGCGTTCTTCACCAGGCATGATCTTGCGACTCTGAGCGTCCTCAGTCGTAGCCTTGGCGTAAGGAGATTTCTGACGGATACGGTAGCCGTACTTCATAAGAACAAACTGGATGCAGTAGTGATATTGTCAGTCCTGCGGCAGAAAGTACAGATGAGAGCAAGAGTAAACGCACCGGCAGTGGGATCATGACAACTCCAATCAGAGCGCAAAGTGTCCCCGCCCATTGGTAGTGCAGGTTTTGGAACATCTGGCGGCCGTACAATGGGAAAGAAGCGGCAAGCATGTTACGAACGAAACCCTGCGCGGAGATGGCGGACGAGGCGTATTCGCCATACGCATCCGCGAGGTAGTTCTGGACTGCGTCGAAGATGAGGTCTGAGACGCATAGCATCCGAGGTCAGTAAGCCCACTGCAAATGTATATCGAAAACGTGAAAGAACTTACAGATAGAAAATACCATGGGGCACAACGCGAGAGTTGGCACAATCCAATGCACTTCGCGGAACTGCGTCCAAGAGAACCAGAACAACGACACCGGCAAGAGAACCGCCCCAACTCTACTCCACGCAAGTCTAGCCTCCGGAACCGGTACACCTCCATTTCTCTTCGTCGCTCTGTCGTACACCCTATTCTGATGAATCGAGGCCGCGAACGCAAAGAAACACCCGAGGATGGAAGAGATATACGGCAGTCCAGCATTTCCCTGACTCCATCCATGGTTGCCTTGGTAGGTGAGCGGGATGACAGAGAAAAACAGGAAGATAATAGCCCATGCGAAAGCCAACCAGAGAGAAAACGCAAGGACGACTGGTTCGCGGATAAGGAGGATGAAAGCGCGAGTGGTCGATGCGTAGAGGAGTGCGCCTATGGATGGTTTGGCAAGTTCTGATGGTGCGCGGTATCGGTTGTCGCCTGTGTCGCGACGAAGTTTCTGAGCATGTTTCTCAAGAATACGAGCTCCGCGGGTCTCATCCAGGAGGAAGAAAGCAACGACGAAAAGGCAACCGTTGGCGATGAGTTGAACCTATAACTGGATGTTAGATAATGTGCACAATGCTCGGGTATAGAAGGTAAACGGACCCATTCGATCCACCTCCAACCTGCGTACTGATTAATATAGCCGGAGTATAGGGGAGCGGCGACCGTTCCGAGGACGGCGGTCAGACTGAACAATGCCACCGGCAAACCTCGCTCTTCCGTGGACCAGATATCCGTCTGTGTACCAGGAACGATCGTCGTACCCGCAGCGCCTGAGCATCCAGACAGGAAACGCGCTACGATGATTGTTTGGATGTTATGTCCAGTGGCGAGAGGTATGAACCATATTGTGAAGAGAAGGTAGGAGCCGATATAGATAGGTCTACGGCCGATAAATTCGGAGAGTGGCCCAAGGAACATGGGAACGACGGCAAATGCGGCTGAGGAAAACGATGGTTGGTTCCGATGTTAAAGACCGTTGAAGTGTGATTCGTGACAAACGGGACGTACCATTGAAGACGAACAGCCCAACTTGGCCGACTTCATTGGACACACCGAATTCCCCGGTCATAGATGTTATACCAGAAGAGTACCCAGCAGTAGCAAGACCGCTGGAAAATATGATGATTAAGACCGGACGAATCTAAAAGGACTAGAAGGTTCATACATGAAGAGACAGACTAGGCAAAGCATGACGGTATTCTGCCATTTCTTCCGCCTCGTCCACTAAGGATGACTCGGTCAGCACATAACATGGAGGTGGAACAGAAACACACACATTCATGGGGTTCGTGGGATCATTTGGTTCAAAAGTGACTAGAATGACGTCCTCTTTACCATTGCTTGAACCGGCATATCGTGGGACTAGAGAGGTTCCAGAATGTGACGAGGGGGTCGGATTCCGGCTTGTATTCTCGATGTGGTCTTCTCCACCAAGTGCTTTGCCATGAACTACAGATCAGGTTTATAGTCAGCACCATAGCCATTCCTTGACAGTGAATAATGAATACTTACTATGACGAGCACCTCCTGAATCCCGCACTGCGTTCATTTGCAACGATGCAAATGGCAGTCACTCGAGAGGGGAGCTTCCGTTGATTAGAGAAGCGAGTGTGTCTGCTATCTTTTACAAGCACAAGGTAGCGCGTGGAGAATAGAGTGGAGAGTGGGGAAATATGAAGATAATTTGTAGAGTCGGGCTGATTTATATAGTACGTGTACAGCTGAGGGATGTTTCACTCGGAGCGGAATGAGTGAACACTCCGCTGTCCTCTAGGCGCGATCAGCCAGTTGGGTAACACCTCTGAGAGCACAGAACGCATCGCGAAAGCAAGACTGTAAGACTGAATGACACTGTAGTAGATAAACATTGGTCCCGGGGATGGTGGATGTCGATCGGCGGCGCTCGGATTAGTATCTTGGACGGGCCCGGGGGCCCAGTAAACAGACGCCCCGCTCCTTGTAAGAGAGCCGAAGAGGATTTATATGTACTGTATCACTGAGAAAAACCCAACCAAGTCACAAATACAGCCCTCAGATACCAGTAGGATTGTCGAAGTCGACGAGAGCGGTGAGGAGATAGGAGGAGATTCAACAACAACATTTGTTGACCGTTCCCACGAAGCGCATGCGGCGGTGGCAAAGCAGAAATAACCGTTCAAAGAGGGCTTACTTTATGTTCCCAAGGTCGATAGGGTCTCATACTTTTCTACTCAAGCGGCGATTCATTCCTCCAACTGGTAAATAAAACATGTAAATGCATAGAAAATCTAAAATAAAGGGGGAGCCACGTCCGGGCAGATATACAGTACAGTCCAAGGCTTCTCTGAATCTCGTATCATCTAACAAAGTCTCATACGACCAATCATGCTCTGCTCTGCATCAAATACGACTGCGAAAACCCACTTCCTTTCTCCGACGCAGGGCCATCCTCAACGCCACACCATTCCTTCGCATCCACGGCCAACAGAGAAAGGCCGACCAACCACTCCACGGTAATCTGAAGGACATAGAACTCGGCCTTGCGGCCATTAGAGCCTGCATCCGAGGGTGGGTTGAAAGCTTGAGCGAGCCGGTAGGCAGGGACTATGATGAGAACGAGAGAGGTGATGGAGAGCCAGAGGGAGGTGCGTCGGGGAAGGCGCGCTTCTGTGACGAGGCGGGCGTTGTAGAGGCAGAGGACTGCAACCACGATGAGAACGATGATGGTAGACACTTTTCTGGAGGATGATAAGGGGAAGTACATGAGCATTATATGGCGGACGTCAAAAGGGTTCGGAACTGACTTGTATGTCTGAACGGTCTGGGCTGTGGTAGAGTCTGATAAGCTCTTGGAGTACTCGACCCCGGATACGATCCCAAGAATACTATGACAATGTTAAACATAAGTTCACTTGACAGAGAAAGTGTACGTTGGAGGTGAGAATGCGTACATGGCGACCAGCAAGGCAAGCTCCATCAAGCGGGTGACCCGTTTCTTCTGACTATTGCCTTCATACGCGTCCCCGCGAAGGTCGTGAAATATAGTAAGCTTGACGAGTGTATTGGCTAATATCAGATACCCGATACTGAGCAAAACCTGTGAATCATTCGAACGGCATAAGCAAAGAAGACAGCACGCAGAGCATGGGGATAACATACCTGCTCAGCGATCAGCAATCCCTCGCTGAAGATCGCCGTTCCATTAAGAGCGTGTGTAATATTCTCTGCTCCGATGGCTCTGATGATCATTGTCGCCACCCTGATGACCTCGAATGCTTGGAGCCGGAGAAACGCTAGGAAGATGCGGCGAGGTCGTCGATAGTTCACGACCATACGCCACAAGCAGAGACACGTCGTGATGACATAGAGAATAGTGAAGATAATCGAGGGCGCAAGATCTTGAGAGACTGACGGCAGACCGCCAGAAAGTGAGTTTAGGGTGATGGTGCTCCCAAGTGCTGACCCGGTCGACATGCTTCAGGCTGAGTTGGTCGAAGAGCTCAAAAGAAATTTTAGTGGAGGTGTTGCGAGCATCCTTCCGACTGCTGCAGCAGTATTTATACCCATAACGCAGTTGAGCCAAAATCAGTACAAAGCTCGCCGGCGCTGGTGTCGGAGGCGTGCTCTGCGATGTGCTCGACGTTGTGCCCACGTCGCCAAAAACGTTGGACACGGAGTTTGAGGCTATGCACGGCAATGGCCGGATGGCACCGCCTCTGGAGTTGCGCCACCTCTTGGACTGCATCGTATCGTCGCATGGACGGACATGGACTTGTCTTCACAGTCTGAGGTGCAGACACGTGTGCCAAGAGACGGGTCTCGAGGAACGGGGCAGTGTCGTAACAAAAAATATGAGAATGATAAAACCGAAGACTGACTCGGAAAGAAACCCCGAGTTTTGAGCTCCAGCTGTAAGTAATTGAAGATGGGCAGAAACTAAATCAGTAGCCCAAGCCGAAAGTACTTCACCGCGATCATGATCCACTAGACTTGGTACTGGACTCGCGCAATGCCAAACGTGTCCTTCGTCTCTCCCGCCACACAGGGCCCCACCTCATCTCCACATAAAGCAAGGGACACACCGCGATACACAGACCAGCGAGCAGAACGTGCGTCCATCCGGGCTTGAGAGCGTCCAGGATCATGTTGATAACTGACATGACGGCCGCACCGAGGAAACAGCGGACGATGTTGTTCTGTATGTAAGAGGGTTTTGGCCGAACGTTAGGAGTGGAAGAGTAAGGTTATAGGTGTGAATAATAGTAAGAGACAGGCTCACACATGCGGTTATTGAGGATCCTTGCGTGGGGACGAGGTCGATGAGGAGGGTGGAAGTAGTGTTCATGATCGCATTGAACAGGTATCCCACTAAATTCGCGCCAGCCAGACGTGATTAGCAACGTCACAAGACATACCCAAGGCGGAAAGAAAACAAGGATACGGCCGCGACTCACGAAGGAACTGAAGGATCAACGGCCCCGCAATCGACACCTTCGCCTGCACACACCATCCATACCCGAGCGTGACAGCGATGAAGAAGAACGAATAGAGCGGCATCGTCCTCAACCTCGCCTTCTCGATCGGAAAATCATCTCGAATATCTCCTTCCTCATCACTGTCCATCCCCTTCTCCTCTATATCACCACGTTCCACTCTCCTCGCCTCCCTCAGTTTTTCGATTTTGTCCTTGACCCTCCTATAATCCCAATCCAACATCCTCCCCGTACCCACCGAACTCAAAAGCATCCCTCCCCCGACACTCAAATAACAAAGCCCAATCTCGGTCTGACTCAACCACGGATATGCGCTCTCAAACAGCGTAGAGATAGACGCGTTGATGCTCATACAGACCGCGTAGAATATGCCCGTGAAGACGAGAAGCGTGAGGACGTCGGGGTAGGTCAGGAGGACGAAGGGGTTGGAGAGTGGTTTGTGGGCTCTGGACGGTGGGTTGTTTGAGTTGAGTGCGCGCAGAGCTCGGCGTTGAGTCCTGCCAATGAAGGGGATGAGGGCTTTGTTGAGCCGGGGTGGGGGGATGCTTCCGTCGCCGACGAGGGCTCGAAGGGTTTCTGGGAGAAAGCTTGGGTCGATCGCAGGGTGTTCGTCAGTTTATTCTGGTGTGAACGGGTATACATGCAACGCACAGAAGGAGCGTTACTCCACAAACGGCCGACAGGATACAAAGAAACCAGAAGATAGACCTAAGAGACAAGGTCATTTGGAAGATTTGACCTTACTTAGCACACCAACTTACACCTTCCAGACAGGATCACGTTTAGCTTACCTCCAGCCAAAAGCATCCGACAGTGCCCCACCAACCACCGGTCCAATAGCCGGTCCAATCTACTAAGAGATTGAATACCCCTCTTCACACGAAGAAACACGTCACTTACCATGGGCCCTATATTGAAGAAGCCGAAGAAGCTGCCTCGTTCCGCAGGGACCGCAATATCCGCAACGACACCTGCGCCTGTTAATACGATGCATTGTGGGTGTGCGTACCAACGTCCGTCAGCATTTCATACCCTACATTCAGAACGACGAAGAAAATCTGCAAGCGCATAACTTACCAAGCGCAATCGTACTCGCCGACCCCGCCGCCTGTATACATCTCAGCACAAGAAGCAGCCAATAATCCGAAGTCGGGACGAGCGCGAGACCGACGCAGGAGAGGGTGAGGACGATCATGCAAGCGAGGAAGATCGGTCTTCGGCCGATGCGGTCTGCGATTGTGGCCCAGAACATGGGCGCTTTGAAACGAAGCGAGTTGACATTGTCGGTGAGGTGAATGGGCAGGCGTTGGATGTTAGTGGGGATCACTTCTGGCGGAGAAGGAAGGGGATGTAACGGGGATGATGGGCTTACAGATGCCTTGGAGGATCATGTAGACTGTCACGGTCAAGTTGATGAGTTCAGTCGACTGGAGGAGTTCAAATGTCGTGCAACGGTGACCGAAATGCGATGAGTACGAGATGTCACGCGACCAGGATGATACGCTGAGACAGCGCGAAAGCCCACCTTGTGAAAATCAGCAACGAGGACAGGAATTGCTGGGAAATAGATGTTGGCCGTGAAAGGACTATAGGTTCATAAAAAGAATCAGTGTTATGTTTTGCATGGTCGTCTGCGTGGAAGTGAAATAACAGAGTTAGGTACGTACCTTAAGAGCCCCGCAAAAGCGATAGTCACGACGATGAACCACTTCTCTCTCCTCGTGAAGACGCTATATGCAGTCTGAGATGGTCGCTCTTTCTCGTTCTGCTTCTCCACTGGCCCAGCTCCAACGTTAACGTTATTCGTCGACTTGGGGTCTTCCTCCGTCCGCTTCAAGTCACCGTCATTCAATCGATTCAACTGAGTAGTTTCTGCGAGTTGTGGTGTGGCGCTACTACTAGGACTCGGAGTCGTCATGCGGGGAGAGTCAGGACTAGATCTCGGCCCTGTCAAATTCGAGTCGTCGCGTTTATGTTCGTGTTCGTCACGGTGTTCGTCAAGAGTAGGAGTGTGGGATGTCGCAGTTCGAGCACCGAGACGTCAAGTTTTAACGATCCAGAAGCCGTCTGAGTCAGACCCAAAAGACCGAAGAAAAAGTTTAGCGGCAAGCAAGCGGTGAGTGCCAATGACCTCGAGCCTGCGCGAGTCACTGCGTCAAGTGTCAGAATACGTATGAGACATGTCCTGGAGACCGTCCTCATGATACGATTAGATTACAGCCCTGGACTCATGGTTCAATTTGCTGAGAAAGAAAACAAGAAAAAATGTGTGAGTTATTTGCGAGAGCCGAAGAGCCGTTGGGCCGTCGGAGGGAAGTCGGATTTGGATTCGAATTCGGACGCATTTCAGTGGTTGAAGTGGTTTGGACTCCGATTTAAAATATAACCTGAAGGGCTCCGTAGATAACAACCATGGAGACCAGGACGAGTTAGTATCTGTGAGCAGGAAGAGAGAATAGAACAGGACGCTGAGATTTTACATAGCAGATATTGGATGGAAGCTGGCCAAAATTCGAATTTGAGGCGGTGCAGCCACCGAGCTGAGTTTGAACAACAACGTTGTGGCGGTGGCGACACACCTTCCAAAAGCATGCAACATCGCAAGGACTCGAGCAATCAAAGGTCCATGAGCGTGCATCGTGCATCGCTATGAGACCTTAGCTTCAAGCTTCCTTAGACTGAGCCGGGCACGCGAGGGAGTCGTCCATTTCAAGTTTCATGCAACTTGTGGAAGGAGACAACCTTCAAAATGGGTATAAATACCGGATCCAGATATCCAGAGCGCAAACGAATATTATGGTATAGATTCCGTATTCTACTAATCAGAAAGAGAAGGGACCTTGATGTGACTGTGTGCTAGGAAATCCAGGTGTTGGAGTGAGTGAGCGGAAGAAGATGAGTGGACTCGGAATGAAGTAAGAGATGGATATAAATATGGATTGATGTATATGTCTGTATGTGTGTGGGTGTGTGCATGCTGTCTGAATGGTGAAAAGTCTCCAAGCACCAGCGAGCAACGTAGATGATACAAACGGCCTTATCATGAAGCAGATAGATGAATCGATGAAAGAGAAAGACTCGGATGATGTAGATGTATACAATGCAACGCAAATTCGGAAGAGCACGGAATGCGACGGAGAAGAAAAAATACAGAAATTCAAGGACTGCGTCGACTTTCTTCTATCTTTCTTGAGTATCGCGCCAAGAGATGGACTCTCTACCTACCTACCTACCTCACGCATCCCGGATATCGATCTGCACGAACAGCGTCGAGAACAGATACTGCGAAAGTTGCGAATCATGCAACGGCAAATGTCGGAACCCTATATCAAGCAGCATCAGCATCGTCAACGACCCTTCCCCCCAAAAACTGTAAACCAAAGAAGAAAAAAAGCAAAAACTCACCCTCCCTCAAACTCCCCAAACTAACCCCATAAACCGCCAAAGGCTCCTTATCCTCGTCCGCGCCCTCCTGCCTAACCGCAAACCTAACAAACACCAGCTCCCTCATATCCCCCACACAATCAAACGGCAAGCTCAGCGCCTCCTCCCAGACCGGATTGAACCCGTTGTTCTTCACGACGCTCGTCCGGTACGTCACCGTGCGCGCCGTCGACGTCGACGGCACCGAGGCGTATTTCGTGCTGCCCGAGGCGGAGGTGGAGGAGATGGCGGCGGTGGAGGTGCGTGTGGTCGTTGTGCTCGTTCCTGGAGTTAATTTGGACGAGGAGGAGGTGGAGGTGGAGGTGGTGGGAGGAGGGGTGGATTCGGATGTGGCGCCCTTTGAGGCGTGAGATGTCGGTCCGCCCGCGGGCGTGAAGGTGGGCGTCGTCGCTCCGGTGCCGGTGTTGGGAATAAAAGGTGACTGGGTCCAGTCGGGTACGTGGACGGAGACTTCGACGTAGGGATCGATGATGGACTTGTTCATGATCTCGTGGCCGTCGCCGTCCTTCGGTCTAGGGAGCTGCTGAGCCGAGATGATCTATGAAGACGTCGGCCGTTAGAAGAGGAAGAAAGGAAGAAAGGAGATGAACGTGAACATACGGTGATATCGAGGAAGTGCTTCGTGCGTTTCGCGAGGAGCTCCTTGTCGGTCGTCCTCAGCGCAAGCGGCTTGAGGACATATCCCGACCTCCCATTCCTCTGAAACATACAATGATTGATCATATACCCCAGATCACAAGTCTGCCAATTAATAGCGACCAACTGACAGCCCGCACTCCAATACCTATGCGGCTCATAATTGCTCGAACTGACCCTCATCCCCTTCGGATACACCCTAACGAGATGCGTCCGATTATGCTTAATCAGATCGCTCATCCCGCTCCCCTGCTTGAACATCTTGTTCGCCGTGTTCTCAGAGAGCGAGAAGACGTGCTCGGGCGCGTATTGTTCCTTCTTGTTCAGGCCGCGGCATTTGACGCCGACGGTGTAGACGAGGAGGGAGAGCAGAGAGAGCGACATCCGCGGCTTTTCTTTGCCGTTGGAAGACTGTTTGGAGTGTTTGGAGAGTTGGGACTGAGAGGAGGTGGAGCTGGCGGAGGAGCGGCGGCGGTGGAAGGCGTGCGATTGGGAAGGAGGGGAGGACGTAGAGGATTTGTTACGGTGGTGAGTGAGTATATTCCTCGCTTTATGGAACTCTTGCTTCAGCTCTACAGTTATCCGTCAGATTCAACTGAAATATAAAGAGGCAAAAAAAAACGCACCAGAAACAAACTCCCCATCCGTCGACGAACTCGCCTCCGTCGAAGTCGACTCCTCCTCCACCTCCACCGCCTCTCCTGTCCCTCCTGCTCCTGCTCCTGCTCCTGCTCCTGCTCCCATCCCAATCGCACCCGCCGGCGCCCCAGCCGCCACATACAAATTCTTCGCCTTCAACATCACCTTCCCCCTCAATCCCTCCGGACTCGGCAACACCTCGATCTTCCTCCGTCCCTCCACCGGCTCCCTGACCAAACTGTCTCCAAACACCTCGAGCATGATGTCCACCATCGTCTCCTGCTGCTGCAACCCGCAGTGCACTTCCGCGCTGATGATGATGGGGTAGGGAGAGACGACGAAGGCGTATTTGGCGATGGCGAGGCAGGCGTCGCGCAGGGAGACTTTGGAGGTTAGGGTTTTGCCGTGGTAGACTACGGGGCCTGTTGTGGGGTCGCCGTCGTAGATGTCCACTGTTTGACGAAGATTAGGTCGGTCAAGCTCTCTGGACCGTAAGCATCAGGAAATAAAATTAAGAACAGGCTTACGTTCAACGCTCCGACAACTATGCAACAACGCCCTAATATACCCCTCGATCGTACTATCCCCCACGAGCTGATGTCCCACCAAATACGTATTATGCGACGAAGAGATATAATACTCTGACAGCGGCCGGGACATGTCGTGGTACACGCCCAGGTTCTGGTCGACAAAGGCAGCGTTGTCGGTGGAGAGGAGGAAGGAGGTGAAGCCTTCGGGGGACATGATTAGGGAGTCTACGTCGATGGGGGGTGCTGGAGTGGGAGAAGGTGGGGCGGGAGCTGGGGTGGGTGGCTGAGACGAGGCAGCGGGAGCGGGAGTGGGAGCGGTAGATGGAGATGGTGTAACGGGGGAGGTGGAGGTGGAGGGAGTGGCAGAGGCAGAGGCGGGGGCCGTCGAAGCGCTGGCGTTGGTCTGAGCTGCTCCAGAAACCTGTCCCGCTCCCAACGCAGGGCCAGGTCTCACACTCCCCTCCGGTTCCTTCCCCTTCCCCTTTCCTTTCTCCCCACTATCCGACTCCTTCGCCTTCCCTTTCTCGGCATTCTTTGCCCCTGCCCCTGTCGCACTCCCATTCATCACAGCCTCGCCATTCGTATCCCCAGTTTGCTTCGTCGGGTTAGCCGGCGCAGGCGCAGAGAGGGGATTCGTCGATGTGGCGTTGGCGTCGGTAGACCCAGAGGAAGGAGCAGCAGCGGAAGGAGCAGAGGCAGAAGCAGAAGCAGGGGAAATAGTCGAGGAAGCGTTGGCCGGAGTGGTCGAAGTCGGGGTCGAAGTCACAGGAGCGGGAGCGGGAGCAGGAGCAGTCGAGGCGGTCGAATTCGGGGGAGCAGACGCGTATTTCGCAAATACGACTTTGAGCTCTTCGTCGCTCAGGTCGGACTAAATGCAAGGGGAAAAAAATGAGTAACCCAAAGGCGCGTTTTCAGTTTCAGTTTCAGTTTCAGTTTCGGTTTCGGTTCCGATAGGGACAGGAACATGACAAGAAATCGGTGGGATGGCGGACATGAAAGCATATTAGAAGCGAATCAAACGCACCTTCTGACAAACCCTCATAAACCGCTCAAACACAACAAAATCAAACACCGCTCCCTCCCCTTCCTTTCCTCCTGCTCCTCCTCCTACTCCCACTCCTGCTCCGGAATGCGAATGGTGTTGATGCCGCTCATGCGAAAACCCCCGCGCACAAAGTTTCTTATAAAGCCTATCGAGCTCCGGGCGCGTCTTGAGGAGTTTCACGAAGCGTTGGAAGTTGGCAAAGTCGAGATAGCCGGCGTTGGAGACGTCTGCTTGCTGTTGGGGGGTGGGCGGGGGCGGGGTCGAGGTCGAGGATGCCGATGTGAGCGGAGTCGTATGGGTTTGAAGTTGCGGGAGCGGGGGAGGGGTTGTTGAGCGGGGGATCAGGATTAGAAGTTGGGTCGGAGACGGAGTTCGAGTTTGATTTCGACGAGATTTGCGAAGACGGCGGGCGAGATCCGTGCACAGGCAGAGAAGAAGAAGAAGAGTCGGTCAGCCCAACGCTCCCATTTCCGATCCCATGCGAAACATTAGACAAGAACGAGGCAGGAAAAGAAAGGGCCGGAATCGGAGGACGTATACTCTGTGCGTCAGCACCAGAACCCGCATCGGTAGAGGCGGAGGCAGAAGCGTCATAATACCCCGAAGACGGCAAGATATCGTCTAAATGCGGAAGATCAGGGAGATGGGGCATATGAGGGAGGTGCGGGAGATGAGGATGCGGGATGTGGGAGAGTAGAGGCATGGGTGGCGCTGAAAGGAGTGAGATGGTGCGAAAGGCAGAAGGTGGGAGTCAAAAGGCAGAAGGTAAAAGGCGTAGGGTGAAGGGGAGAGTCTAAGAACAGAATATATGCTATGAATGGCAGTGGCCTCGTGCATAAACATGGTCATGAGCATGCATACAATGAGCGGGCATCGATGGACTGCACTGCTGGAGCGAGCTGCCTCTGTGGCACCACACTCGGTTGATCGAGGTCATGCTTAACCGCACACGGCAAATCGAAGAAAAGAAAGAAGAGAGAATGGGAGTCGCCTAGTGCATGCTCATGAGCATGCATACAACGAGCAGGCATCGATGGACTGCACGTAGCGTTGAAGCGGAGGTGCCACACTGAGGTTCAGGGACCTGATCGACGTCATGCGCGCACGCAAGCATGCACGTCCAAACGAGAGCCGGATCGAGGAAAGCAGAAACGAAAGAGAACAAGAGAAAGAAATCGAGAAAGAGAAGAAGCTGACCTGAAACCTCCTCAACAAATCGTCCTTACTCGGATTAATATTCAACCTCTTACACAACATCTCCACATCCTCAAACCTCAACCTCTGATCCGCCTCTCCTCCTCCTACTGTTCCACCCCCCCACGTCCCCCCCTCCCCCATCCCCTCCGCCCCCCTCCAAACCTGCCTCTCCCACACCTGTTCCCTCAAATCCCCATTCCCCAACCCACTCATCAACTCCCTCCTCACGCCCAACAGCCTGCGCAAAGTGACGTCCCACATCCCAAAGACCTCGCGCGTGGGCGCGATGACGTGCCACGTCTTGTATTTGCCTTCGAGGACGTAGATGATCGTTAACCAGCGGGATTCGTAGGCGGAGGAGAAGTTGAATTGGGAGAGGTAGTAGCGGGCTTCGGAGCCTGAGCGGAGTTCTTTGATTGTTTCGATTGGGACTGTTTGGGTGTGTGCACAATGACAGATGAGCTTCAGATCCAGGAGGGCAGGAAGGATGGATGGATGGGATGAGAGGAGGAGGATGAATACACACTGATCCGATGCTTCTTACTCTCCCATATGATCTGTCCCTGGTCAGGATCGAGACGAAAGACGACGCGCTGTTGTTTCTTAGCGGACACTTTCGTCATTGGGGTGCCCTGCTGCAGGAGCTGGGGGACTGTGAAATCGGCCATGGACGGTTTCTGGTCTGCTGGTGGTGGTTGTGGGGTCGCCATCGTCGACGTTGTTAGTGTTGTCGTTGAGGAGGATGGTGGTGGTGGTGGTGATAGTGAGGACGAAGACGAGGGGTCGTGTGCGGACAAAGGTACAGACACGGGTTCGCCTTGTGTTGATACAGGAACCGAAGAAATGGGCCTCTGCTGTGGAGATGATGATGATGATGCAATCCGAGGCCTAACCGTCTCCGTACTCGCGTTCGACAACGACCGCCTCACGTTGACGCGTCCCAAAGGCTGCGACGGACTGTTCTGCGCTGCGTATGCGTTCCGGACGGAGAAAGTGATGATGGAGCCCACGAGGCTCGCACGCGTCCCTCTTCCTCTTCCTCCTGCCCTTCCCCCTCCTTCTCTTCCTCCTCCTTCTCTTCCTGCCGTTTCTACTCCTTCACCACTAACCCCCACGTCACTCATCGCCCTCGCATGTCGTCCCTTCGGCTCACCAGTCTCAGTGATAGTCCCAATACTAGTGCTACTACTGTTACTGTTTCCGGTCCCAGTCCCGGGGAATCGAGGTACGGATACGGATGCGGATACGGTCTTGAGTTTGCGCCGTAGAGACGCGAGCGTGCGCAGTGCGGACGAGTCTGATTTAGAGCGGGAGGGTACTGGTGAGGGAGCGGGCGCTGATGCTGATGGTGTGGACGTGGATGTGGACGACGTTTCGAGGTTGGGGACGGAGGACGAGGACATTGAGGTGGCCGCTGACATTGACGTGGACGTGGACGTGGACGCAGACGGCGTGAAGTACGTCTCAGGCGCGAGGGCAGCGTTGAGCCGGCCTCGCGAGTTGAGCACGTTCTCCGCTCGACGGAGTGAATGCGATCGGTGGATGGGCACTCCGTTGTCGCTTGGGGGTGCCAGTGTCGTTGTTGTTGGTGGTGGTGGGGAGCTCATTGTTGTTCGTGTTCGTGTATGTGTATATATGTTGAGGATGAGATAGATGGGTGCAAGGTGAAGTTGAGGGGATGAGGATAAGCTTCGCACCAATCAACCGACGGGCGAACGGAGCTTCAATGGGTAGGATAGGATTATATAGAGTAGAGTAGTTATAAGTAATGCATGATGGATAATGTAAGCGCTGCTGAGCGGTGAGTCCGTTGCTGTACGAACACGTTCGTATTGCAGACGCTCATCATCTGTACACTACGCTAACTGTAAGTACCCTATCATCGCTCTTCACGAATCACGAACTCGAAGCTCTTTGATTCTGGAGGACACGAGTTCTCTGCACGTCTACGGCGATCGTTCTAGTATATTTGAAGCTTTTCTGCATAAACAGGTTGTCTCTTCCTCGAGTTCTTGGCATCAACCGAACATATGTCTTGTGTTGCCGTCGTGCCGTCTGGTTTGGCCTCCATACACGAGTAGACAGGGGCTTCAACTTCTCCGCGATGCTGTGTCTCTGTCTCTTCTCCTCGTTCCGTCCATAGCCCCTCGGTCTGTCCACCAATCGTCCACGACTCCACGTACTGACGCGCACGGCTTTCACATCCTTATTATTATAATAGACGCTCGTTCGAAATCTCCCTCGTCCAGGCTCCTCGTTCCCGCCCCGTCTAAGTGCTCGATTGACTCCTCAGCGCAGAATCGGTCGAGGCCGTCATCTCAGTCATCAACATCATCTTGGGCGCGCTCAAGCCCGGATGGACGCACGTTCTGCTCGCCGGTCTGTGCATCGCGGTGTGTCCCCTGCTTTATGTGGAGATGAGATGGGGACCCGTGTGGCGGGAGAGACGCCGGAGGAGACGTTTGACGTTGCGCGAGTCCGGTACTAAGTCTAGTGGATCATGATTGCGGTGGATTACTTTTGACTTTGCTAATGATTTAGTTTTCTTCCTACTCAGTCATAGCTGTGAGCCTGCCAGTGTTCAAATCGAAGTTCTCGAGTTCTTTGCGGGTCGGTCTGCAGCTCTAATCACTCCGATTTATCGATTCCGACACTGCTCCGTTCTTCGAGACCCATTTTTTGGTTCATGGGTATATTATCACCACGTCTGCAGTTCTGACTGGGAAGACGAGTCCATATGTGTGTGCGGTGATATGATGCAGTCCAGGAGGTGGCGCAGCCTCCTAAAGGCGGTGCCACCCGGCAACTGCCGTGTCTCAAAGATCGTGTCCGGCGGTTTTGGTAGTGTTGCCGCCGCTCGGTTTGGCTTCACTTGGCTCGGCTTTCCCACGAAGCCACCTTTTTTATGAACTGAGCCGAGCAGAGCCACTTCACCTTCAAGCCATCCCGAGCCGAGCGGCGGCTTGGGCTTGGCTCGGCTTGAAACTCGCTCAAGCCGTCTTCAGCCCGTATCTACTTATTGCGACGGAGGACGCGCCCTAGGACACTGAAAAAAATACTTATAATTCCACAGACTGTCACAGGCATGTAGCGGACAGTCAACGAGACTCACAAGGAGCGTTTCGAAGGGGAAATAGGCACTGCAGGTAGGATCTCCGGCTGTCTAAGGAGATTCTAGATCTGAGGTATCATTTACCGCTCATTATTTTCGGCGAGGCTGTAACATCACGTTCTGTCTAATCAAAAATGCGAGAAATATTCACACATGTACCTAATGATATAATTTCTTGTTAGAGTATTTGAACCGTCTATATGTGTCGTTTTGGGAAATGCTAGAGGATTATCGTTGACTTTTTGCCCTCTGAGAGGCGTGGGTCGGGCGTTGCCGGCAGCTGACAAGCCTTCCTTGCGAGCTGTGGCGCGGTGTCACGTCAGGACGGCCACATCTGCGCGACTACGAAAGCCGGGCAGCACTCAGTGGCTACAAACCTCATACTAATACCCGGTATGAACCAGGTCACCTCTAAAAGCATATAGATTGCTCCAAATAATTTATTTGGTGAGTGATTAGAGGGTGCGACGACTTTTCTGTACGACTGTGACTGCATGTGACGCAAAACATCAGCTCGGATCAGCTCAAGCCGCGTCTGAGCTGAGCGACCGGCTTGGCTTTGCGCACAGCACAGAACCGAGCCGAGCTGAGCCGGAAAGTATGGCTTGCAAAGTTTGACTTCGCTCGGCTTGAAACAGATTGACTCGGCTCACAAACTGGCTTCGAGCCAAGCGGCGGCAACACTAGTTCGAGTCAGCGACTCAACTAAGCTCAACTGAGTCTTCATCGACATCCTGCGATTGTCGCAAGGTGTGTAACGAGTCTTTCCATTCCATGGTACTCCATTGGACTCATACGATACTGACCGCTGGCATGCAAGACTGAGAGTGCGAGCTGGAAAACGAAATTGAGCCCGCCCTCAGCGATCCCCAAGAGCTATTAATAGAAGCAACTATGAAAAGCTCGTTGTGGCCCTAATGTTGTTCTTCTTCGGAGCCCCAATGTGCTGCCAGTGGGGAAAGCGGCTCTATCGAACCGAGCGGTACTAATAGGGAACCATCCTCGAGTACTTGAGTCATCGAGAAGAGCATGCCATTGCACAATATGACCTCCAAGAAACGCAAGTCGCCTCGAGACCGTGACGCCTCGATGTAAATCTGCGAGTCAGACTCAGGCTAGCGCTCTTGTCTTTGTCTTCCCCACTCTCCGACTACGACGGATGTCTATTCGGACAGTGCTCATTGCTGACGATCAGGGCCTGAAGGTGGGCTCTGACCCAGACCAGGACCCTCGAGCTCAACCTGGGGCTCCTCAGCCCCCAGTAGCAGGTCACACGACCACTAGCTCTGGGTGGGATACGACCCATGGCGACGCCGATTCGCTTCCCAGACAGCTGGAGAAAGGAGAATCGCCTCTCGAGGTAATGGATTTGAAAGACACTGGGTCTGTGGAGGAGGATCGACCCTACAGCGTCTTTACGAAGAATGAGAAATGGTTCATCGTCGTGGCTATTGCGTTTGCGGGACTGTTGGGGTGAGCGTTTTCACATTTGCTAGTCCCCATTGATATGTCGTACGCGATACTGACAAGTACTTATATCGTTCGAAGTCCTCTTACAGTCAACATCTATTTCCCATCCATACCTGTTCTGGTCGCTGATTTCAAGAAGGTAACGTTCGTTCTATTGGACCCACATTTGTTAGGCTATGGGGCACGGGCGACTTTGATAGCTTGGCGATTTGGTCTGATTTTTTCCAGTCGACTGAGCTCATCAACTTGACTGTGACGGTCTATATGATTCTCCAAGGAATATGTGGGTGACTCCTGCTAGCACTTCGACGAATTATAACTCGCTTTATGCGTCGCTTCATACAACATCTTCACCTCGGTCACTTACTTATCTCTCTTCAGCACCCATGTTCTGGGCAACAATCGCTGACCGCATCGGTCGAAGACCGATAACTCTCGCATGCATGGCCGTCTCGACAGTGTCGTCCGTCGGCCTCGCCCTAGTCCCGACATCAGATTATTGGTTGCTCCTTGTGCTACGATGCATACAGGCGACCGGATCGGCTGCCAATACCGCACTAGGTGTGCATTTGCGCAACCTCTTTTCGACTGTTGTACTCGATTCGTTGACACGAGCTATTACTGCGATTATAAAGGCGCGGGTGTAGTCGCTGATATCGCGGTCCCCGCGGAAAGAGGCAGTTTCTTTGGATTTTTCTATATAGGACCTATGGTGCGTAACTCGCTATGGCGTCACGTCTTCCCTTGGGTACTGCAGCTCAAGAGATTCTATACTTTTCAGATTGGGCCTGCTGTTGGGCCTGCGATCGGCGGTGCGCTTTCGGATGCGCTTGGCTGGAGGTAAGAGCAAACGAACTCCGCGTGTCTTTCCCTTTGCGTGTCTATTTTTCTGAGATTGAACAACTGATGACTTTGCGACTAGGTCCGTCTTCTGGTTCCTTGCCATTCTGTCCGCGATCTGCGGAGTGGTTATCCTTCTGTGCGTCGCAAGCTCACTCACCTACAGGTAAAAATCGTGCTGACTCGGGGCATGACCCTCCAAGTTTCCTCCCGGAGACGCTTCGTGTGCTCGTCGGAGATGGAAGCATACCCCCACCCCGACTCAACAAAGCCCTCCTCCCCTTCATCGGTCGCAAACAACGTCGCTCGCGCCGTGACCTCGACGGTGTAAATCTCAATCTCAATTCCGGCCCTACAACGCCCTCCAACAAATCGCTCTCCAACCCTTTCGTCCTCCTAACCTATCCTGACGTTTTAACGCTCCTCATTTTCACCGGAGTGTTCTACGCGGTCTATATGAGCGTGGCATCGTCTATCTCGACGTTGTTCAAGGAGGCATACCCGTGGTTGAATCAGACGCAGATAGGGCTGTGTTATTTGAGCGTGGGGAGTGGTATGTTGGCAAGTTCGGTGGGGACGGGAAGGATGCTGGATTGGGATTACAGGAGGATGAGAGATAGAATTATAAAAGAGAGGGAGGCAAAGAGGCGAGAGGGTGGGCTTTCGGACAAGAAGAATGCTAATGCAGAGAGAGACGGCGGTATCAACTTTATAGATGACTTTCCGATCGAGCTGGCTAGGTTGAGAACGATGCCGGTGTTTTCTTTCTTTTTCATCGTCGTGCTGCTGGGCTATGGATGGTGCATACAGGCGAAAGTTTCCATCGCGGTGCCGTTAATCATGCAATTCTTGAGTAAGTCAAGGGCCTTCTTGTTGATTGAAACTTTCTCTGCATAATGCGCTCAATATGGCTTTTATGCAGTCGGATACTTGTTCAACGCCGTCATGAATGCCGCTTCGACTCTTCTGATCGACCTCGTCCCCTCTCAAGGATCGTCAATCACCGCATGCGTGAGTTCTGTTTTGACCACCATTCTCTCCAGCCGTGATTCGCAATCCCCTCCCTACCTGGCCATTCATTTATTGACTGCTCTTGCGTACAGAACAATCTCGTTCGCTGCTTCCTTGGAGCAGCGGTCATCTCCGTCATTAGCATCATACTGGACGCTGTCAAGCCCGGATGGACGCATGTTATCCTCGCGGGTCTGTGTATCGCGGTATGCCCTTTGCTTTATGTGGAGATTAGGTGGGGTCCTGTGTGGAGGGAGAGACGGAGGAAACGCATGGCGCTGCGCGAGTCCTAGGACGCATAGCGATGAATGAACCTCGTCCAAACCTCCTTAGATGGTGTTGAGGATTAAAAGGGATAATGACATCATGCAGAGCGGTGTCCATTAGAGTGGGATTACGCACATAGACGCATCCAATCGCCTCCAGTTGTCTCGTCTTTTCTTTGGATATATTGTGGTTTTTGAAATCAAAGAATACGATCTGCTTTCTTCCTCCATACTACAATATATCGCTTTCATGTGAGGTTTCAGCATTCAGAGACCGAGTTCTGCGCGAGAGGGGGAACTAACTGATAACGAATGCAATCCTATGGTAAGGTCAGGGCCGTAAGGTACGTATGACACTTCAACTTCAGTCAAACGTTGCTGACAGTCATCCGACGTTTTTTTTGGGCTTACTCATTCTCAATCATCGTCTCATCGTTCTGAGGACAATACAGTAATCGCTACCTCCCGGACATCAACCGGAACCTGCACGATGGAGAACCAGGCCACAGTGGTCCATGGATAGGAGTGCCCCACTTGTGCGCCACATCGCCACAGTTTTCATCGGAAGCGACCGGTATCCCACGTTTCCGCGCTCACCTAGGCCGGCGCCCGAGGGCCGAGACCGTCAACGAGGTGGGAAGCCGACGGACCGACCAGAACGCTCTGTTGGGCTTTCGTCGTCCGCAACATCGTTGGACGTTGTTTTCAGTCTGTATTTGACCACTACGCTTTGCAACTTGGACAGTTTCCGTTTACAGCGAGTATCAATATTCGCAGAGGTCAGCTGAGCAGGGGACAAGCCAGGCACCGAGGTTGTTCCGGCGGTGGAAATTGTCATGTGCTTCTCGATCACGCAGATCGAATTAAAAGTTTTTCAACGCTGACGTCGATCACAGTTGCTCCGTTGCTCCTCCGAGAGCAGCCACTTGGGCCCATATCTGCCGTTTCTGGCTGATGTAATCGATTCTTCTATGGTCTGAGAACAGCAGCGTCGCGTTCTTTCTCTTTGGTACAGCTCAGATTCTGCAAGCTTTGACCGACACATAAACATAGTGTGAAAGGCCGACTCTAACGGTGGGAGCCACCATTCAGTTGTGATAAAACTGTGAGGACCCTCGTCGAGCTTCGGGATAGCGGGTGGCAGACATTTCCTCCGCTCGTTCGCACCGCCTCCACCCGGCTTACCCTCAATATGATGAACAAATTTACCGCCCGCTGCCCCCTTCTCCAGGGCCCTTATAAAAACTCGCCCCAGTGGGCCCCCATCCCTCCGCCCTTCAGCCCCTCGTCTACCCCATCTTTCTCCACTAACACTCATCGCCTTCTCAAGCATGCCCCCTCATGATATGATAAGAGGTCGCAGTACCGCAGACCTTCAGCATGGTATGTCCTCATCCATCTAAACTATGGCCGGGATGGTACTGACGAATGTATTCCATAGGCAAGGGTCTGACCGGCGAGACTGAGCACGTCGACAAGGTCGGCCAAAGCAGCGCCGGCCCCTCGTCAGGGCCCTCATCCACCATGCAGACACCCGCCATCTCCGCCGTCACCAGCCATACTACCACCACCAGGGCCAATGACGATATCATACTCGTTACCTGGGAAGAGAATGATCCGACAAATCCTATGAACGTACGTTATTTGAGCTAACTCTTCCCATGCACACTCACTTATCGCCTTCTACAGTGGTCCAAAGCTAAGAAATGGCGGACAACCATTCTTCTTTGCTTCATGTGCCTGTTCATGTGCGTATATTTCTCCGTCTTCTGTCTTCGTCCATCTTCTCACGAGAAAAAAAAATACAGTGGCTTGGCAACTGCAGCTTTCTCCTCTGGCATTGAAAGCATGTGCGAAGAACTCGGCGTAGCCACTGAGGTTGGCCGAGTTGGCATGTTCGTGTTCAACGGTATGTTTTCTCCCATCAACCTCTCAGACCACAGTACTTATTAACCGATCCTTTCTACCAGCCTCATTCGCCATCGTTCCCATGTTCCTCGGTCCCCTTTCCGAGTTCATCGGCCGCAACCCCATCTACCTCGGCTGTTATGCCCTCTTCACCGTCTGGTTTATCCCCATCGCCCTCGCCAAAAACATCGCTACCGTCATCATCGCCCGTCTTCTCTCTGGATGTTTCGGAGCCGCTGGCACGACTATCATTCCAGGTACCTTGGCCGACATCTGGAGCACTGAGGAGCGTGGTCTACCCGTCGCGTTGTTCAGTTTCGTCGCCGTCTTCGGTACGGTCGCGGCACCTCTCTACTCTGGTTTCATCAACGAGACCATCGGCTGGCGTTGGATTGAATGGGTACGTACACCTCTCTCTCTCTCTCCGCACATCACAGTCGTTGATAATTTGTCTGCAGGTTCAACTCATCGCCAACGGCTGTCTCCTCGTCGTCGAACTTCTTTTCCTGCGTGAGACCCGTGGTGCCCTCGTCCTCGCAAAGCACGCCAAGAAGCTCCGCGCTGACACTGGTGATGACCGCTACCGTGCTCCTTCCGAACTCGAAACCCAGTCGCTCGGTGAACTCCTCCACGCCTCCACCACTCGGGCCTTCATCCTCCTCGTCCGCGAACCCGTCGTATTCTTCTTCTCCCTCTGGCTCGCCTTTGCATGGGCCATCATCTTTCTGTTCTTCTCCGTCATCCCGCTCACGTTCCAGAACCATCATGGTTGGAGCCAGGGTGTCGCTGGCCTTCCGTACATCTCGTCGATCATGGGCTGTTTCTTCGCGTTCGCTGCGAGTGTCCACCAGCAGAAGGTGTACGCCAGGATTAGGGAGCAGAACGGTGGTGTTCCGAGCCCGGAGGCAAGGTTATGGTGGAGTAGGGTCGGAGCTATCCTTTTGCCCGTCTCGTTGTTCTGGTTCTCCTGGACTCAGTTCGCCAGCGTGCATTGGATCGTCCCCACCCTTTCGCTTTGCCCCATGGTCTTCTCCATCTGTGCGTCTGTTCTTCATTCACCATCTTTTCTTCCACCTTGCTGACCGATCACGAATCATTTTAGACCTCATCTTCGACGCTGTCCAAAACTATCTTGCCGACGGCTATGGCGAATATGCCTCTTCCGCTATCTCCGCCCAGGGCTTCATCCGTAACATGCTCGCGGCGTCCTTCCCTCTATACTCCACCCAGATGTTCACCAACCTCGGATACCAATGGGGTGGAACTCTCTGTGCGCTCATCGCCACCGTCATGATCCCTCTTCCCGTGAGTTTCTGTTCTTCTTCTTTTTCGACAATCTCCCTCAGCTCTTCCATATCCCTCGTCATCTGCGACCGTATTCTGACTTCCGTTTGCTTCTTTAGTTCATTCTTATGAAGTACGGCGAACGCATCCGCGAGAGGTCTCCTTACGCAGCCGCTACCACCCAGCTCACCGCCGTAGCCTCCCGTCCTCCCATCGAACAGCGCATGTCCGAGAAGGTTGCTACTCCTTACGTCCGTACGCACACAAAGACCGGTTCCAAGGCCACGCACCAAGAAGCCACTGGTGCATTCGATCACCATTCGATTGAAGAGAAGCACGCATAGGTTCTTTGTGCTTTGAAGTCTTACTTAATGCTTAACCGTTTACGATCACACATCGACATCGACTTTAGACTCTTAGACTGTGATACTAAAACATCAAACGAAAATCGTTGTATTTCCATGGCTGTTGCTTTATTGCTTTTATCACGCCCTTATTTTCTCCCCTCCCCTCCTCATTGCCTCGCCGTCGTCACTCTTCCTCTTCCCTCAACACTTAAATGCTCCATCTCCACTTTCGAAACCTTTGTATTACTGAACGATACCTCCATAGTTACTGGCGCGCTTGCTTCCGTAGGCTCTTGTTCGGCTCCATCTCTTTACTTCATTCGCATGCCCATCCCCGAAACACGACCGCATACTTACATACTTATACCGCACACCTAATGGCAATCAAAGATCACATTGGCTTTCGTCCATCCATCGATGCTTGTGTGTTCTCTTTTATTATTCTCGGGCCGAAATTGGCATCCTTGCCACCAGTGCCGACGAGTGGCAATCATATGCGGCGTGTGGGTCTGAGTTTGGTCGGGTCAACCGTTGGAGGCCTCGAAAAATGTGGCGCCGGGCGGGTCGTGGACACTAGTGACTCGTGAGTCAATGAATTTTGGTCCCTTCCGAGTGTATATTGAAGCATTCAAACGGAGGATCTTAGAAGGGGTAGGATGGAAGGAAAAATATGATCTATAAATTGCGTGGGACAAGAAATCGCACAAAGACGCCACCAACCCATATTCGGACGCATCGAGACAATGCCGCTTACATACGCAACTGGGCGCTGGCAGCAACCATGACCATCAGGCTTTCGCTCGGCACCACCCGTTTCGCTTTGTTTGTTTCAACTGCGACCTCGCATTGATGCCCAGTTCTAAGTGTCGTCATGCTCTCGGCACTGTTGCCAATTTGTGTCACTGGCAGGCTTTCCTTGGGCTTTCCTTTCGCTTTGTTCCTGCCGCCGGGATGTTCGACTTGCATTTATGGGCTTTCCTTGTGCCCAAATATGGACGTCTTCTTATCAAAGCGCAGCTGCGGGCAAAGTTAGACGCCGAATCGCTTTGTGGCTCACTACCAAACATTGACCGGGTCGTAGGTATATAAAAAGACCTCATCTGGATGCGCCACTCACTTGCCCTCATTTCCTCCCGCCTGCTACTGACTCAAATTAAATCAAGCCGCCATCGTCGTACTACGGATATGGACTCACAAATGCATGTTTCTCCTATCAGACGAGCCTCTAAACGTGGTCGAAGGGTGTGTAATTCTTGTTCGTTGACTCTACCAATTAAACATTTCTCATTGTTCGATACTCCATGCAGAGACCCACAGGGAGACCTGTGATGTCCGTCGACCTTGGTGCCGTGTTCTACCGTGCGGAAAACCCAAATAAATCCGTACCAAGGACTGGATGCGGTCTGATCGTCCAAGGAGCTCTGGCTTCCTCCGACCCCCAAACCACCCACCCATTCATTACTGGGGGAGCGCTGCCTTCGTCAGCAGCAACCTTGCTTGGAGGGGGGCGGGGCTTCTTCACATTTCGGCACTGCACGCTCCTTATTACTAGCCACACGTGTCATTTATTCTAGCAAATATCATAGATTTTCTCTTCTAGTTCAAGCAGCGTAGCAATCCGTACGAAGAAGAGGCCAGCAGCGAGCGATGCACAGCGAAGGAGACGACGACTGAGATCCGCGGCGACCAATACACGGGAAAAGGCGCACGGGCCATAGTCAACCACCTGCACCAAGCTATGTAATAATGTGAACATGTGGACACGCCATGGATTAGGCATGACAAGGGTATGGTAACATGTACAGCACCAAACCTGCGAGTTCCTGATAGGAACGACCGTTGCACCAAGGCGAAAGGAAAAGCCGTTCTAAATGACATCGAACCATGGAAAACCTGGTGACTCCAGCCACATCTCAAAGTCGAAACCATCGGCCGTCATCTAAGCTAGGCGTGTGCTTTTGCCGGATAACGAATCGGTGTCCTTGCTGCTTTGTAGGCCTTGAGGGCATGACGGGCTTGAATTTTGACTGAACAACTCTTGACGACATCAGCGATGCCCGCGTTCGAGCCAGCTGCATCTAGGGTAGGGGAAAGAGGACCCACGAGTTGACACTGCAAGGAAGAATCAGCGTGAAGAAAAGGCGGCTCGCGACATACGACTCGAGTAGCCGGTCCGGACACGGAAATCTCCTCTAGTGAGTCTCTCGCACGGCCTCTTGAGATGAGTGTGCTGGTGCAATGGAAGGTGTAGATGAAGTGAGTAACGCAGTGACACCTTTCCACGACTGTTGTGTATGCATTCACATACCTGTTGAGCACAGGGCCAAATGATTTGCTGAATCAATGACCTCTGTCTTGTCAGGGAGTTTGACGAAGAGCTATTTCTGCAACCTAAACAAGCAATGATTTTGGGTGAAGATGCAGGGAAGAGGTGATGAACACGATTCATGATGGCGATTCTGGATGCGGAGATGCTGTAATACAGCGCTTGAGAGGAAGGACAGCAAATCTGAGAGCCCTTCGTGTTGTTCATCTTCACCAGGGTCATGTACTGTGCAGGGCTCGCGTAACACTATATCACTATATGATCTCAAAATAACTAGGATGACTAGAAGGAGAGGGATGGTACAGTGCTTACATGAGCAGCACGCCTACGAGTGCAATGTGCAGGCGGCACGAAACTTCACGGAGACACCACAAGAGGAAAGTAATCCAGCGGTGTCAAGGATGTCTTGGCTCATTATGCGTGTTTTCTGGGGTTGACAGACAGATTTAAAACATCAAGAAAGAGCACCGGTAGAGAACGCTGGTAGGCGTTTCGATGAGAGCGTACAGCGTCCTCGGTACCAGGGAACGGTCCTCGAGCATGCCAGAGTGCAGGAAGGACGGCACACGCAAAACATAGTATGGGCTCAATTGCGGGGATCGTTCCGAAGGCCTCTGTGAGTACACAAGCTTGACACCAGCAGACGTTGGCAAATGCAGAACTGGACAACAGATGGAGAACCGAGGGAGAATCAGGACGACTCGGAGTGGCGCCAAAGTGGCACGCAGTGAGGATACGTAAGCTGTTTGTACTTGTTGAAACGGTTGCCCGACGTCATAATTACGGCGGTGCGAAGGACCTTGTAAGCAAGGTAATGCCGAACACCCATAGTGATGTCCTCATCTACGCTCACGACGATCGTTTTCCCGAGCAAAATCGTTCGGTCGTCAAGCGGCTTGGACTCATCGTCCGTCCCACAGCAACCGTGAACGGGCAGGACACGGTCGAACAGCCGTCACAGTGGGATGACCCTGCATCGACCATAGAAGCAGGAATCGAGAAAGTTCTTGGGATCTACTACTTCGGGCGCACTTTCGTCACACCCTCCGCCACGCCTGAAGATCTTATTCAAGAAATGATCCAGGAGCCAGTGGAGACGCATACCTCTATTGATTGGGCCGATCTGATGGCTGGCTCTCTTCTATCGGAGGACCAGTATTTTATGCCTTGGCTCCAGAATCTCATGTACAAGGACACGCGTTGGTACGATGCTTACCGCTTTGACGCTCTGCGTGACCTCGGAGAGGCCATTCATGACGACGTCTATCGCGGAAACGACGATATCGTCAGACTGTACGAGGCTCATTTGAAGGAGAGTCACGATAGTCAGCTTTGTGTGGCAGAAATAAGGACTGTGCTGATAGAGGAGGATGTACTAGATGTTGTCATCCCGCAGGCCTATCTCCACCAGCGTCTCGTTTAGACACATTTGGTGTACTTTTGGACACTCAAAGGAAACGTTATTGATTAGAACTATTGGACTGTATATACGCGATGAGATAGGTCCATAAAGAGAAGAGACGAATTGAGCACGAAGCGAAGTCATAAGAGTCTGGGCGGGGAGAGTTTTATCACAAAGGGAGGAAGCGTAACGTTAACAAACATGATTTGGCATAGCTACTCAGGTCAAATGTGTAATCTGAAGTCCACGAAATGTGTACGATCCCGAGATCCGACAACGCCCCCATAAGCGCGATCAAGACGGCGGAAATACGACAGTCCTCCATTCGTCGTCAATTCCTGCCCCACTAGAAACCAGTCAAGTTCTGTCCATCCCCTTCCCCAGGCTGCTGAAGCGTCTGTATCGTCCCATCAGGGGTAATAACCAATTCCGAGCTATTCTGAGTCGGACCTTGCCAGTCCGAGGCGAGGAAAATGGTGTTAGACCAAGGACTGAGGAGATCAGACGTGATAGGGACTTCGGAGCGTTTCCAACCCTCAGCGATCGGGAGGCGTTCTTCGCGGAAGAAGATGTTGACGAACCTGAGCATGAATACAGCCACGTCAGACCAATTGTCACTCAGGCGGAAGGCCCTGTGAGACGGGAAATTAGGAGGGAGCCAGACTCACTCCTTCGGCGCTTCACCGGTGGTCGCATTACCCATGACAGACAAGTACAAACTCGACTCCCTTATCCTGATGAAGAACTCCTTGCTGGTACTGATCACGTCGGGGTTTCTCGCCATCGAGTCTTCCAGCCTAGCTTTCTGAACAAGTCCAGCAGAAGTAGCGTTGTAATAATCAACACCGGGGTTGGACTGCGCGAGCGTTTGATTGAATAGAGTGGCGTTGAAGGAATGATTGTCGCCGAAATAGTGGTCGGAGCGTGAGACAGAGGCGTCATGCTCGATGTTTTCGTGCCTACGATGAGGAATTGGTGTTGAGTATATAGTAGAAGGAGTGGCGCAATAAGAGAGCAGGATGCTGAATACGTACATGTCGAGGTCATCGAGCGAAAAGTTCTCTACTTCGGTGCTGACAAGCAACGCAACTTTTGCGGCCAGCAACAACACATCAGGCTGCACATTATATCCGTCTATGAACATTCCAGTAATGATGAGTGCCATAGCTTGATAGATCCAACGATCGACAAGACATACCGATTCCGGCTTGGAGTACCATAGGGATCGTGATGTTACTTCCGTTTCTCGGCAAGATACCGTGGTTGGCGAGTGTGCTGCGTGCAGGCCGCTCAAGTCAATAATGTACCCTGGGGTTGGAGGCGAGCAAACTTGATATTTGGACTTACTTCAAACCGGGACAAGGAGACCTCAAATCGTTAGGCCCGGGAGCCTGCCAAGGATAGTCCGCAAAATCGATCCCACTATCCCTCGGCATAAAGCCAAAGGCAGATACGGCCTCGACCGCACCCAAGGCCGTCAAAAGGGTGGAATGAAGACTCAACCGCATCGTGAAAAGAGTAAAAGGCGTGAAAATAGGAAGTGTGGCGAAATGGACCGTTGTAGTCTTCGTAAGAAGGTCAGGTACTATGTAGGGATATATGCTGCTGAAGAGCAATTTCTACCCTCGCCCCGAAGAGTCTTATATATCCACCCCAAAGTACCAGCGCCTAGAGAGCCACAGGTAAGACGTCAGAAGACACTTCATAGTTCACGTAAGATCTCATTTTGGTACCTGTGTTACCCACATTGGCCTGCTCGCCCCACTGCCACTGCGCAGAGAAGTATGTGCATGCCTTCCGTGTCGTGCCCCGAAATTGAACGCTCATTTGCGGCCACTAGTATCCGTCTGGTCCACCACTATTCCAGTGCACTGAATAGAATTGAGGGAATAGCATCATTTATCTTGTGCTTTGTGGGGCAGAAATTTAGCATGTTAAAGGAGACGAAGGAATGATGGGCAGTGTCTGCCCCATTACTTACGTCCAGTAAGTATGCGTCGCCATGGAACAGCTCGGCTGCAGGCCAGGGCCGATGGTTTTGTGGATGCTGCATATGCAATGCAGAGGGTTATTGCCTAGCCTGATCGTACTGAAGCGGAGGTGAGGAGGCAGAGAGGATGTGAGATGCACGAACCAACGTCTATTCTTCTCCATCCGGCAAGATGGGCAATTGATCCTCCTAAACTCATAACGTAAACATCGTCGCAACCGTTCCACATCCAAGCCCACACCGTAGTGTGTCCACATCGTCACAGTAACGCAAGCCATTGCGTATAAGTAGGGTCGGCCCACCACAGAAAAGCTGTGTATCGTTCGTGGATCGGCATGATGGCCGTCATTTGACTCGAAGCTCAGTTCATCTCCGCGTTGATGCCATTGCACCAATGGGAGGTCATGTATATGCTACCACGACCCTGTGGCCTTGAAGGCGGTGACACAAGTTCCGTCAAGCTAAGAAAAGTCTCAACGAATTTAGTTCAGCAAACTACACCGTGAAGCAGTAACGGTGAAACGTCTGGATGTCCAACTCAAGTAGACCTCCCGAACGGGTTTCTCTGTGGTCTGACAGACTAGCATAGAGCACAAGAAAGTGCGGTAAGGTCCAGAATTATATTCTAATCGCAATATTGCAGAGGCAATACCAGTTTCAGGCCGCATACAGAGGCACAGGCGTCTATTGACTGCGCAGAAACGGGAAGCATGAATCTGTGTGGATACCTTATGGATACCTGTGCCCATGCTGCGAACCTTCGACATGAGGATGTAACTCATCTCTCCAATGGAGCTGACTGGCCCTCCACGGCGGTGAGCCCACCACCTATTGTTCCCATCGGCTTGCGCCTCGCGTCATGTTCGGAGAAAAGAAAGAGATGCAAACGAACCATACATCCAGTTTGTTCACACTTCGCCTCTGCAGTACCGCCAAGGCGCCAACATTTTCTTCCCCTTCAACATTCCTCTTCACAATCGCCTCCTCAAATCTATACGGAACTAGAAATCAGTCGTTCGCAATCGCAGGGAGCGTGGTGGTGCTTCTTGAGGGATGCTGAATTGCAGCAGCGCAACTTCCTAGACAGTCCACAAGAACAGATTGCAGTATTTAGCGTAAGATAACAGGTGTGCCACAGTTAAGAGACAGCAGTGGCGGGACGATGGCAATCCTCCATATCCCTATCTCCCGCGTTTTCGTGAGAGAGCTCTTGCATAAATATCTGAGCGCTTCGGTCGAGCTGTTCAAGTCTAAGACACTCGGTCCGCTTTCTCATGTTGCTGACATAAATGCTGCAGAGATTATATCCTCTGACGCACGGACACAGATGAGCGAGAGAGAGCGAACTCAAGGTAAGATGTACGACCAGAGCTAGGAAAGGGAGCAGAAGATGCCGAAGACAAGAGCAGTGCCGTCAAACGACCAGAGGGTAGACTTCCTTGCGATCTGGCGCGAGGAATGCTTGGCCTCTCCAGGACATGATGAGCCTTCCGATTCTGCATGTACCTGAGGGTCGTGGGTATGAGGTTCACTCGAAGCAAACGCCACATGAGAGAGCTTGCGACTGCTCGAAGGAGACATACTGAAGACAATTATGTTGGAGGGCACGGCTAATGATGACGTGCCAGCTATGGCCATAAGTACTTGGATACTAAGGACGGTTCACTAGGTCGGTTGAGCCATTTGAGCGTTGCTATCTTCACCTGCAAAGAAAATAATGATGCGTTGAGTAGTAAAGAACCATTTCAAACGAAATTGAAGGTACGATAATATCACGAGGTGACGGCGACGTCTGTAACATCTAAACATCTAGGCCGTCAGTGTGCGCACTAGAGATGCTACATCGCCGTTCGAGGGAACTGCGACTCGGAGGACTGAGCTGCAAGTTTTGACTGAACGAAGGAAAGACGTGCGAGTGTAGCCGCAGGTAGCGTAATGAGTGCAAAGTACGAGGACTCAGAAGTGAAGAAGACCCAGTCGCGCGAGAGCGAGCGTGAAGATATATGCGGATATCAAGAGTTGGAAGGGAAGAACGGGGACGGTGTCGCCAAGCGGCGGACTTGGGCGACTTTCAAACTCAGCCTTCAGTCCGTGACTCTTCCGAGTCTTCCCGGCGCAGTTTCCCTTGTCTCGAACTTGTTTGTCCTCTCCCGGATGTAGTTCATCCTTCCTATCATCTATATGTTCAACTTCTGCCTCCGCTGCTGGAATGAATTGAAACAATTCGTGTTTCCAGAAATCGCCCTCAACTGCTGAACGAGCTCGGTAGACTTTGGTAGGCCTCCTCAGGCTGTGCCTGTCATGTGATGATGATGTGCATAGATCACTATGCACCCTGGCGTCCGCACGTCGGACGGTCAATCTTATGAGACTTCGCATCTTTTATCATCCCTGAGTATCGTCCTCCATAGGAACTCTACTTTCACCTGCACCCGGCGAGTCTCGCATCGAACTCGGACTAGTATTGTCTGCGATTCAGGCTTTTCTCAGATGGACGCCTTCCTCTTATTCTGTGGTTATATTCTATCCTCCTTCGACGTCACTGAATTGCGAACGCCTTTTTTTGATGGATTTATTGGTAACGCCAAGGCCCAAGCATACCCATGCGGGTCAGCAACCATCACGGCAGTAATTGGTATGTAGGCCCTTTGCCTAGAGCCTCATTGCACTATACTCCGCTCACTGGATCGACCTTCTTCTCCAGAGCCTCGTGCGCCTGACGGTTGAAACCTGCCTGGTTTCCTCCTTGACAAAACACCACTGCATCAGGGATGCAATGAGGTATATCGCAACAAATGTGACTTTTCTGCGTACAAACAATACTACTCATGATCATTATCTATGAAACGCAGTACACTCAGCCTATCCGGAATCCTGAATGCGCTGCCCTTTATCTGGCACAGAAGATTCCCTCCTTAGACCGTGCGCGCTCTCTCAAGGTCATCACGGCCAATTCTGCCCACCCTGATGTTGAGCCAGCGGGGCTGACGCTTCCCATCCACGGAGATCTTTCGTCTGATGGCATTTCGCATGTTTTGATACGCTGATGTATGCGACCAAGATGACCCATGTCCCTCGATGTGCCTGTTTCTGCAGTATAAAGAGGCAGACACGATAGCTGGAGGACGCCAACCGCACAATTACTCCATCACAGCTTCCGTATAATGCAATTTTTCTCTCTTACCAGCGTCCTTGCCTTCGCATTTGTGGTTGGCCAGGCATCCGCTGCCAACGTCGTTGCCACCGCCACTGAGTTCACCGTCGGCGACTCCGTACGTTGAGATTATCTTTCGAACTTCCCAGCGCGAGAGTATAAAACATACTGATCATCATCTGTGTCCAGATTGCTTGCTCAACGTCTATATCCAACGTTGCATCAGCTCTTGCGAGCGGAGATTATTGTGCCGTCTCTTCGGTGGGTGATTAGCTCCAAGTATGAGCGATGAGTGCAACAAAACCTGATCATGCTTAAAAAATAGGACAACCTCGAGTGTGGTCACTACGTTTTCTACATCAATCAAGCCACCCCAAGCGTAGGTTATACCTGCATCGCCGTCGACGTTGCACCTGACGGCGACTTTTACCTCTCTCCCGTATGTCGATCATTTATTTTCCTTCTTATCCATGTTTTCCTGGAGATACTGACGCCACACTGTCTACAGAGCCAATTCGAGGACTCTTCGCTTGGTGCTTCATCATTCACTGCTACCTATGTTGTCTCGCCCTCGGATTAGTGCGCATGTCGCGGCCTTCATACCCTCGGCGCTCGGCATTTTGGGTGGCTCTTGCATTGTACTTTCACTTGGGTTCGGCCTATACAAGTATAATTGACCATTGATATACTGAATATGGCGAAATGGAGGCGGAGTGACCGTGTTTCATGAGGGATCCTCATCCCTGCTTGCATACGCCCCGCTGTTTTGACTAACTTCCAGTTATGCCGATACTACAGTCAATAAACAAAATATCATTCGATACAGAATATCACCATCACTACCAAGCCGGACTCCGCGATGTGGCACTAGAATTACACTGATACAACAATGGCCACCCGACGAGTATCCAGACTACGATGGACAGCATATCTCACAACAACGAAACGAAACCTCCCACGGATAGAACAATCCGAACATGAAAACAAGAATGGGAAGAAGTGTCAGTACTAGGCCTGAACACAAAAAAGGCTAACAACAAATGTAAAGAAGCAGAGTCAATTAACAGATCGAGACAAGTCATGGATAACGATAGCTTTGAAATTGTACGATGGGTAAGCAGTAATCCATGGAAAGGTTTAGGGTAGAGGGTTCACCGAACCCTCCAGCCTTCCGCTCCAAGAAGAATAGCCATAACGACTGAAACGTGACGATGGTAGAACCAGAGAGCCGATGGTCCGTGGCCTCACTGAGGAGGTGGCGTGGCTGGGCCTACAACACATGGCCATAGTCAGTTGTGAGAGGATGCGGACAGAAAAGTGAGAAGGAGGCACACCGAAAAGTCCTGCGCGCGGAGGGGCCTGAACCACCTGTCCGCCACCCGGCATGCCACCTCGTGCTTGTGGCGAGTAAACCGGGTTCGCTAGAGCAAAAACAGGGCCAACCACACGAACACATATCCATCAGCTTCCACACAAGAGCGAAAAGAAATGATTAAGGAATCACGATACGCACGTCTCCATTGTGCCCAGCTCGGCAAATCGGCCTTCGGTGGTTCAGGTGGAGGCGGGGGTGGAGCGGGCAGAGCTGCGGGAGCCTTCGCTTTACCCTTGGCCATACGTTCGGGGCGTTTATGCACCACTCGCCAGGCAGGCTTCGCAGGTCCATCAAGGGCAGGCTCGGGGGGAGGGGGAGGGGCAGGTTCAGGAATGGGTTCGGGGAAGCCGAGACTCTGTGAAGATATCGAGACATGAGCGGGTGAGCTTTCGGCACGGTGTAACGATGTACGGGGCGAGTAGGATTGGTACGACACATTAGAACATTCGAGAAAATAGAAAATTGCATACCCTAGGGTGCCAGTCCGGTGAATACTCTCCCCCTGCGCTATGTTTCGACTTGACCGCCATAAGTTCTGCAATTTCACTGTATCATGTTTGACCAACAAAGAGGTCGGGTCGAATTAGTACAAGGGCGGTAGTTAAACCACCCACGTCAAACAACGGAGGCAAATTTCGTTGAACGACTCGATCGTGAGTGAGGAAGTGATGTACGCACTGCTGCAATGCTCGCCTCTCATCTCTCAACTTTCCAACCTCTTGCAGCAGAATCCTCACCTCGCTGGCAAGGGCCTTACTGAAATCGTTGATATATCTGATCGATATCCGAGACATCGTTCAACATCGCTGGCAAGAAAGGGAGTCGAGCGGCGTACTTGGGAGCAGCACCTGGGTAGGGCTGTTTATTCTGAGCCATGTTTAGTGTCCTTTAGAATGGAGTGTGGAGAAAGCCAGTAGGAGAAGGACAAGGGCAGAGCGTGAATAAAGTGAGAGTCGGAGGCAAAGAGAGGTTGCTCAAGCATGGTGCTTTTCGAACAGAGTCGTTCATCTTATCTAATCTGGAATCTTATTGTGGGCCACAATTATAGATATCATTCTAAGGATCTCCCAGTAACAGTTGAGTTGATAGTCTAACTGAACGTCTCATGATACTATAAAATGCTACAGTCATCTAAGCACGGACAACAAGGAACTGTTCTGGTATATCTGGACTTGTATACATCGCCAGCACAGGCTTAGTTGCCACCGCCACACCATTCTCGTCTTTCACCACCTCTCTCTCGACCTGTCGTCCACAAGGTCATTAGCACTGGTCAATAATAGGGTGCCAAAGAAGGATAAACTCACATGCCAGACCCGCGTCTCGATCCCGAACTGCGTGATGGACGAGCTACACTGCTCGACTAACATCTGGGTTCCTTCGCGTGGATTATATGTCGCTGGACGATGCGTGAAGTTGATGTGTACGGTTTTCATATCTTTAGCATGAGCCAAGATTTGTCCTAAATAGGGCTGCTCGGGGCGAAGCCATGGGATCAGAGCCTTTGGCAAAAATCAGTAAAGGCCCCACACAACGTACCAATTCCTCTGGCATGATCAGCATGAACAGCTGTTCCAGCCCTGCACACTTCCTGCACACCTCTTCTACAACGCTCAAGCTCAGTCGAATTCTATGAAAGCTGAATCTCTTCAATGTTGCTCCATGATTGGCGACCACCCTTCTACAAAAGTCGTCTACGAGCGCTTGTCGTCGTGCCTTGTCCTCGTCTTCCTGACGCTGCTTCGTTGATTGCGCTTGCGATGATGCGGACGAGTGAGAAGGGGTGGCGATGTAAGAGGCCGTAGTGACCATGGATGTGGGCCCACGAGTGGAAGAGGATGCATATATTTGAAAGTGTAAGAGAGGAGAAGAGGCGAGGAGAGCCAAGACGCCTTCTGTGAAGGCGGGAGTGATTGTTGAAGGATGGATTGTGAGCGTTAAGGAGGTGAGCGAAATAAGACCTGAGCAGGACTCGGTGCCTTTATGTGCGTTTTGAGCAAACATCGCCATATCCTGGAGCAGAATAAGCAATGCAGACATATGAACATTCTCGGATGTAATAATCGGAAGGTGAAATCGAGACTCACGAAAGTAGTCGACAGGCCTTCCAATCCTAGTCCCTTGATCCCTGCTGGGTTTGCTTGGATCATGGCCCATACACCTTTATGCGTAACTTTAGGGCATCCTGCAAGATAAAGATGCTCCAGAGAATTCAAGCTAGGAGCGATCGCCTCAAGTAATTCGTCCGTCACATGGTTGGAGAACTATTCTCCAAAGCGGAAATAGTGTCAATGTCTTGTAGGCACTGCATGGACGGCATACAGATGATCGACAGACCTTGCAAATCAGTGTAAGGCTCGTCAGTGTCGCTCCCGTCACTCCAGCCCACCTCGGCAGCATTTCCAATACTCCATCACTCGGCATAATCAACGAGATCTTCCTCAACTTGTCGAACTTCAGCAACAGCACTGGGTCGAAATTCCCCTCACTGTGCCCATTGATCTCTAATTCCGTGAGCGGAGCCCGTGTCATGGCTTGATCAAGTCTCGAGTCCGAATGCGACTTCTTCTCGCTGGTAAGAGCAGAGTTAAGCTTAACCGACGCCGAAGCCAACGAGAAAGTAGCGAATCCAGTGTCCAGTAAGTCGAACGACGCTTCTGGAGAGTGTGTGCGTGGATCTTGGGGTGACCTATGGGCAACGTAGCGAGTCGAAAGCGCATTGAGAATTTTCGAAGTGAGAGACCCATCCCTTGTCCATGTGCATGACTTAAGAGTCGTGCAGTTCTGTAAGCCAATCATGCAATCGTGCAGGAGGGCAAGGTAGGAAGGCGAAGTGCCAAGAAGTGACTTTGGAAAGTCACGGATTTCTGAGGATGTTTTAAACAGTAAGTATCTTGAGTCCCAGCCAAAGAAAGGAAGGTGACAGCGGTTACCTAGTCGTTTGACATGCTTCGCATGATGCGGATATTCAGCCAGTGTCTTGAACAATTTTGCCACCTATATCCACATTGTTCCGCTTTCAGCTAGATGTTGTGCATGTTTGAAAAGCGGGTGTCGTTCAGCGTGTTACCTTGATTTTAGCGTCCTTATACCAAGGATAGATTACAAGCCTTTCATAGAGCATTGGTACAGCGAAATCGTTGAATGCATGGTTGACGAGACAGACAGATGCGAGGTGGGAAGCTTTGAGGAGGTGTTGAATAATCAGCGGCAACAACTCTAGGGGAAGATCGTGGAGTTGTGCCATGTTACAAGGATTCGAGTCGGAGAGATAGGATAAGACGGTGCAATGTAAGTCGACGAGAAAATCAATCAGAAACTAGGAGGAACACGGAATGAGCTTGAGCGCAAAGCGATGAAGTTCAGTGCTTCGCTGAAACGCACCAGAGTTCAAATGCTAGTAAACCAGCTTCGGCGGAGGTCTGTGATACAGTGTTTTGCCTGCACGAAGAAAACATGGACATACAGATCTTGCTTTTTACGATGGAGAGTTCTACGTGGTGGGCCACTGGTGGTGGAGCCGAAGAAACCTTCAATTGTGGCGTAGCCGAGTGAAGGTTCCCCTCGTGGGAACGTCATGCCTAAAACGCCACCCACAAGCCTGAGTCCGCCCAAGCAATGCTCTGATCCCAGCCCGTCTGTAATCATACATGGAGACATGTAAGAAGAAAATTCAAGCAACATCAGTACCAAGGAATACGTCTATATCCAGCCCGACAATAATCGGAACGTGCATCATTTTCTGTCCACCGATTTTCCTCGTAACTCTGAGACTCGAACCAAACACAAATCCACCCTCAGCTTCGACCTTCCAATTGACATGTCCATTCTTCTCCTCAGTCTTATGCATCGCAAGCTCCATTCTCTTAGCCACTCTATCCTTGTCCAGCACATCTCCTTCGGCAACATCAATCCATCCCCTCGCACCCTGCCTCTCCCTCAACCGTCCCACCACCTCGAGCAACCAATCCCTGTAGTCCCAATCCTCCGACTTCGGAGTCGGCTGATGCGACTTTATGAGACTAACCACTTCCTCCAGTTCCTTCTTCACCTCTTCCGGATCCCTGCCATCCACAGCAAGAGAACCTAGCTTGACGCCACCCATGCACTTCTTGTAAGGATCATTCACCATCGACAGCCTCTCGTTCCGATTACACTTTGTCGTCCACGGGACGTCCTCATCGTAAGATCTTTTTTCTCCAGCGTCAAAACCTCGAGGCGCGACGGCAAAGGATTGACCGGCCATTTCTACGCCGTGGACCGGCTCGCTTGGATCGGTCGACTTATAGAGGTTTAGAGTGGTGAGGATTATGAGAGACCATTTCAGTTCGTCACAGGATGATCCAGTGTCAACGCCACAGTGTCTGTGTTGGACGATGACAATGGGGTAGTCGGGGGCGGGATTGGGAAAAGGGCCAAGATCTGGAGCAGGGGACGAAGGTCTGGTAGGGACGTCTTCCATTGTGAGCTAAAAGCAGGTAAATTCGGTGATGGTGGTGGTGTTCAAGTTGGTGGTGGTCGCGGAAGTGGTGGTGGTTGTCCAGTCCAAGACGCGAGTATTGATTCAAAGTTTGGAATGATAGACGTCAAACTTATACAAAAGGCCCGTTGTCTAAACGCCCAACAAAGAACCAACTGAGTACGGATCTTTCCACGTCAGAAGATCGATCGTCGGAAACCGGACAATTGGAAGAATCGTGCATCGTGCGACGTCCGTGCCATCGTAGTCAGCCTGGCAACGCATTGTAGCCCGAGTTTGGTCACCGCATCGCGCACTGGGCAGGAATTCCCTTCCTGTGGCGCTAGCTGATTGCTTTTCAATTATCGTTGCAAACACCATGGGAGGGGCTACCCAAATGTATATCACTCGCTTCACCTATGGTAGTACTAACGAAGCACAATCTTCTCAACAGAACTCACGACGCAAAGTCCACAGCTGAAAAGCCCTCACTAAGAAGTAACAACTCACACATCACACATCCACCGGTTATGATAATCGACACCGGGATCCAGTACAATCAGTTTCACCTAAATCTATCCTCATAACTCGAATATATAATCGCCGCAAAGCCTTCCACTTCCCTCACGTCCGCCAAGTTCTGCAGACACACACAACGACACAGGATGACATCAGTGCGCCTCGAACTGGCGTGGTTTCAGAAGGAAAGGGATGAAGGGGAATACTCACATCAACAAGCTCGTTCGGCACTGTATTCACAGCCAACGCACTCCACCTCGCCAATCCCGGTAGCATTCCCGCCAATCTCATCCTGGGCTCTTCGTCTTGCTCTGGTACCGATCCCGATACCGCGCCCGTGGTATCTTGGTTGGCGGAAGAGGTAGAAATGCTAGAAGAGAAAACGTTTCTCCGCAGACCCTCGAGGAGGACCTCGGTTCCGCGATCGAGACATCGCTCAAGAACTAGTAGGAAGTCTGGGGAAGAGAGGAGGTCGCGGGTTTCGGAGAGGAGGGCATTGAAAGTTGGGTTCTGTTCGGGTGCGGGCGCGGGTGCAGGAGGGAGGAATGGGGATGTTGATGATGATGATGAGGAGAATGATGAGAAACCGGTGCGTGCGAGAAGGTGGGAGAGGGCTGAGGACGTGGGAGGGAGGAGTGTCGAGAGGAAGCTACACGTGTAGACCATCGTCAGTTATCTTCATTCTGAGACAATGATCAAAGGGAGTGACCGTCCGGGTGTGCAGACCGAAAGACTCACTTGATTCTCCTCTCCCTCCCTTCGAACGTAACCTCCCATTCGACCCTTCTTCTCACATCTCCGACCAACCTATTCAGCTCCAATACACCGAGCTTACTCTTCAAACTCACGCCCTCAAACACCTCTTCCACACCCCTCCGAACACGCTCACCCACGTCTTTCCAGCCCACGTTCAGGATCCACCAACTCAACATGAGATACATCCGCTCCGTCTCGTCTGAGATGGGTTCATCGATCCAATGGTCTGCTGGTCTCGCCTTCGCCTTCCGCCTTGAACCTGACGCAGGAAAGCCGTAATCGTCGTCCGCATCCGCATGTTCGACCACGATCCTCCCGAACCTCGCCCAAGCACTATTCCCCATCCCCATCTCCTCCTCTTTCTCCCTCTTTGCCCCCTTCTCCTCCCCACTCTGAAAGAACAGCGAAGAGATATCGGTGTCGTACTCTAAGCCCTCTCTTGCCCTCTCGTCCGCCTCGAGCTCCACTATCGAACGTACGTACTTGTATCGGCCGAGGAGGGAGAGTTGGATGTGGGTAAAGAGGGAGAGGAGAGTGGTGGAGTAGAGGGTTGTGAGCGTCCGGGTCATTGCTGGTTCGTGCGTGCTGCATTGTCAGCTGGTGCGAGAAAGTATATGGATGGACTAGGGGGAGGAGGGATACGTACTGAGCATTTTGACTTCTCGCCACAGTTCGGCTTTGGACCTTGTCGAATCGCTCATCGAGACTTGAGGAGTAGGTATAGGTTGGTCGAGATGAGACTGTGTTATGCCCCCAGGAAAAAATAAATAAACATTCAGACAATAGCGATAGAAGAATGGAAATATAAAAGAGTCACTCACACTCCCGAATATTGATGGCTCTTGACTGCTCATACCAGAGCTACTTATCGACTCTGTCAGCCCATTGCCACTTCCACTCGTCTTCCCTACTTCGACGTTCGCAGAGGGCTGTGCGGATGATGCCGCAGGAGGTACGAGCACATTGTCCTCCGAAGCTCTCCTCGACCCCGTATGGGAGTTCGCTTGGGAAGAGGAAGAAGCCGACTGCTGCTCGGAGAACTGGTCCACCCAGCTCGCACCTAACTGCGAAGTGGACCCTTCCATCCGTGCCGACTGGGAGTGGGACAAAAGTGAGAAAGTGTCGTTGTCGGTATTACGAGGTACCGGGTCTACCGCTATTCCTGCCCCAGAGCTGATATCGGAGGAAGGAGCGGGTACGATGAATTCGAGGCTCGAAGATAGGGAGGAGTCGGAGGGTGGGATGAGGGGTGATGTAGGTGATTGCGCCAGTGGTTGGGCATATGGGTTCGGAGGATACGTCGATGTTGATATTAGTGATGGAGTGGACGTCTGAGGGTCGGGCGAAGAGTGGGCTTGTTCTTGTGGCGGCGGCGATACCAGTGGTGGGGGAGGTGGTGGTTGTGGTTGTGTGTTCGCTCGGGAGGCTCGTGTGATAGATTGGAGTTCAGCTGTAAGTGCTTCGACGTTCATTTCCGAGAGGATGTTTTGGCCGAGGATGGGAAGTTGGGACATTATTGTGAAGGAAATGTCTTGTATGTTTTGTTGGAAGCGTTTGCGGACGCTGTGGAGATACGAGTAGTTCGAGTAATGAGTATTGTGCTCTGATTAGATATGAGGAAAGTAGGTAGTAGATAGATGCAAGATATGCGTATGTTATATCCACCGAAGCATATCCAGAGCATCTTCGTACCACAAACGCGACTGAAGAGCCCTGAGATGTCTCGTGGGTGCCACACCAGCGGTGAAGGCTCAACACCCCAAAGGCTCGCCAGGAGCATACCAGATCGCTATTGGGCATTGAGCACCGCGGTCGCATTATGAAACCGACAATTCATCCGGGGTAGCATCTTGGAACGTGTGAGGACGAGAACCTCCCCCGCATTGGACCCAGGATCTAAATAGACGAGATTCCCAGAACCACAAAAGCAAGCGAAAGTAAAGCTTACTTATCTCTCGCAGCCCTCTCCTGCATAACCCTCTCCCTAATCTCTGCTAACCTGTCCACGACGTAACGTCCGACGAGGTAGGCGCCACCGACGAATCCTGCGGCTTTAGCAAAGCCTCGTCGGCGGTCGTAGAAGTAATTCGTGATTGAGCCAAACATCTCGGTCGATGGTGTATTATGATGAGCTTGGTGGTGGTCGCATAAGTACGAAGGATAGAGGAGGATTTAAACCGAGAAGGCAAGGCGAAGTTGCAAAGGCAAAGTGGTGCGCTTGCACTTCGGCTTTCGCGCGTTCGAGGACCGGCGGGATGCACGTGTTTATACTTCTCGTCAGAGTGGTCAAGCTTCAAAGAAGAAAAACAGAATGATTGTGCCAATATTTTTATGTTGAACGATAAATGTTCACTCTGGTAGGGAGAAATAAGAAATACAGGGAAGAGCGATGTAGTGTGGCCCACGAGAGAGGGGAGACGGAAGACAGCTCTCGGACTTCCGGAGTCGGCTTTACGTAATTGCCACGCGAGCTCCTCCAGCCGTTGTGCGACGCTGCACGACGCCGAGCTCAAGCGGCATCTCATACTCTACTCAACTTACGCATCAATGGTCTGCGCCAAACCCTTCAAATTAGCCTGATAACCGATACTCAATATGTTTTCTTTATACTCATAGGGTGGCGGAGCAAGGTATCCCTATCCTAAGGCGGTCTGGTCCCCAGCCGGTTTGTCCATCTCCAGCTTCTTAAATCGCCTATTACTGACCGATTCATGGCCTTGTAACACCTCTATCCCATGAATTGTTATAACGAACGTACCCAAAATTAGGTGGCTGGTGGGGTCAACCCAGAGCCTGGAAAACAAACACCGCTGTCCTCTTCGCAGGCATCCTCGCGGTCGCGTATGGCACTTGGACGATCAGCGCAGAACATGAGGTCCGTCCCCTCACCTCTCTTTATCAAGCCTCGCGCTCATGAGCAACCCTTTTTTCTTTCGGTCGGTATTGTTTGTGTTTCGTCTTGTGCATTGTGTTTATCTGCTTCAGAGGCGAGACGTTCTCCCGAACCGTTGGATACCTTCGATGATGGTACGCCCCTTTCATTACCTTCTCTCCGGCCATTCGTTTCTCTGCGTCGTGTTTACTTTGCTCATTCATCTGTATGGTGCCGTACAGTGGGCGAAACAGTTCAAAGACGCGGAGAAGAAGAAGCTAGAAGAGTCGCAGTCACAGTCATAGAGTCCGCATTGTGCCCGTTGCATTCTCTCCGAATACACCTTTTCCTGCTCCTTTTTCGAGTGTATCTTCCTCAACAAACAATTGTCCCGAGTCTCGGGCATTCGGAATCGCCTCTACTCCGCGGGGCAACGAAGGGGATGGTGTGCGAAACCCGGCCGGCACGTCCCCCTTTAGTCTTCAAAGGCTGAGGAAACGAAGATCATGGTTTGTTATGATTTACGTCCCGGAATACTGACGTATGCAGCAGCAGAATATATTTGTAACGTCTAGATCCCTATCGAACACCGAATAGCGACACCAGGACCGTACCCTGACAGCAAGCACAGAACAAACGACAGCTCAACGACAATCACACGACGACACCGGAAGATACCGAAGGCACTGGGCCTTTTGTCGATGAATGTTGGTTTCTCGCATACGCGTACGCACAGCCTATTCCTCATCCAATCGCGTCTTTGTTCGTGCCCATAAAAGGTCGGGATCCAACCACTATAAAGGCCAACCACTCACTCTTCCGCTCCTTCATTCTTCTCACTCCGCACCTCGTTGCTTCCAGACTTCAACTGTTGAAATCATGTCCGCGCCTAAGAACGATGGAGCAGAGAGACTCTCCCGAATGGTTCATTTTATACGGTTCAGGAATCGCAATCTCAAGCACGACAACAAGGCCAACGACGACAACGACAACAATAACAACAACTCATTCTCCCTGCCCTCTTCGCCCATATCGTCCACACCACCCTCATCCCCATTTTCACACTCACGTCCATCTTCGTACATCGACCCCCCCTCGACCTCAGATCCGTTCGACCCGTCCTCTTTCCTCTCCTCTTCTTCCTCGCCCTTATCCGCCTCCTCGGACCCACACTGGGACCCATACGCGAACCCCATACCCTCCTCGCACGGACAGAAAGGCCTCAGAAAATCCTCCTCCCGTTTCTTCCAACGCATAACCGACCGCGCCCTCGGCCGTCGCCGGACCGACTCCAGACCTGAACCCTTAAAGTTACCTCCCCACTCTTTCATCCCCGCCACATTCGACCCTCAGACCTCGACGGGGATAGCGACGACCACAGGAACGGGGGCAGCGGCAGAGGCAGAGGCGAGGGCAGAGTTCCCGATCGTGGTCGTCCAGTACAAACGCGCTGATTTCGGAGTGGGCATGGAGGAGGAGTTGCATTGGATGCTCATGATCCTTATTACCGACACGACCTCTCCTTTGGCCGGCTCCTTTCATTCGGAGGAACTGGCTATGACCATGAGCGGGCCTTCGTTCCAGGCTATCGACCGGCATTACTCCGATGAGCGTGGGGTGGTGTGGAATCTGCATTACACACAGACTGATAATCTGGTCAATCTGTTGAGTAAGCGGTGTTTGGGGGGTGTCAGGGTTGGTGGGATCTCGTTTAGGGATATGGGGAAGGAGAGGGAAGAGGTTGATGGAGAGAAGGGGAATGGGAAGGAGGAGGCTGATGAGCAGGATAAAGGGAAGGAGGTGAACGGCGAGGGCGGAGGTAGATGGAAGACGAGGGAGGAACTAGAAAGCGAGGTGAAGGAGGTGGTCGAGTTGATCAGAGGACATGAGCCGGTCGTCAAGCAGGAAGTGGAGGGGTGGAACTGTAGGGCCTGGCTGCTCGAGGTTCTGCAGCTGCTGAGGGAGAAGCAGCGCCAGGACGGTGTTCGTGATGAGGGCGGCTCTGGCAGCAACAAGGGCTCAAAGAGCTCTAAGGCCTCCAAGGCTTCCAAAGTCAAAGATGAAGAACCGAAAGAGCGCCAAACGGAGAGCCGGTCCAGAGGCTGGGTCGACGACGGCGTGACCCTCGAACAGAAATGGATAGTCGAACGCATGCGGGTCGCCAGTCGCGAGACGGTGAAGCGAAATGCTTTGCTGGAAGAGTTAGGGTTGGATGGGGGAATGAGTGTTCGGTTGGTGGGTGCGAAGGAGGAGATGCAGGAGTTGAGCGACGGTGAGAAGCGGGTGGCAGAGGGAAGGATGAAGTATCACGTTCCCGTTGTTGTGGGATGGGGGTGTTGCGATGGTGAAGGTAGTAAAGGCGAAGTCAGTGAGGATGAGGCCGAGGGCGAGGGCAAGAACGGTGCCGAGGAGGTGTAAGGTCGTCCATGGGGATTGGTGATACGTATGGGATCGTTGAATATAGGTAAGATTTTCTAATGCCATACAAAGAAGTGCGCTACATCTGGATTCACGTAGCATGTATCTCGTAGTGCAATGCACAGTAATTTACCTCTAGTCCAGCTTCGTCAGGCTGAAGCTGTTGTTTGGACTGTGTCGATCAGTGTGGCGCAATGTTGCCACACCGGTTGATGCACGGGTAGAAATTTACCGGGATGTCCCGATGTCGACTTGTTCTCGACGTGATTCGTTTCACCTCTTCAGGACCACCTCGTTTCCACATTCTCTATGTTATTCATAACGTCTGGGTTGTGTATGCATGCTCCTCCTCCAAATACCTTGCCATGGTCGATGAAGCCGAAGGAGCTTGATCAAGGAACTCGGTCTCAGACTGGAGATTGACGCCCTAATTCTACTCGGTCGCCCATAGAGCGCTGCTACTCTCACGCTTCGTGATGTGACTGCTGGCATGCTTCTTCTTGTGCATATCTTTGTCGACAACTTTCTTTAATTACCACACAGAAAAATGCCCTCCCGACAAACCAGCGATGAATACTTCGCGTTAACGTCGTACCCACCTACCAACGGAGACGACACAGAATCGGAAGGCTTGCTATATTCAAATGAAGTCAACGAAGAAACCAAGCATCCTCTGCGTCAGGCCTCAACAGGATCTACTACTGTCTGCGAACAATTGACTACGCTTCTCTTATTTTCGGCATTTCTTGTTTCGCTTCTCAGCTTCGCAACGACGCTGTACATCCACTTTGCGCGCTCTCGTTCATCCATATCCACTGGGTCATATGCATCGGCGTACTACAACATCGATATCAGTAGCTTGCGGAAGCCAAGTCAATACCTCGGACTCGAACGGGTCGATGGGAGTATAGAAAGGCTTGCGCAGGAGCTAGCTCACAACGGTGCGGGGGGCGGAGCGCACGGAGCAACATCGTCGTTGAGTAATGGGTCAATGACGATGAACCCTCCACCGAGTTTGCCTATCGGACCTGGAAGGGCGACATCCATTGTGCGAGTGAATGAGAGGTTTCCCCATGCCACGTTCCCGAGAGATGGATGGGTGCTGCTCACCAACGAGGTGTGTCTCAGCTTCAATCCTCAATCTCAGTCGTGGGGCTGATCGCTCGTGTTGGATGTGTAGGATGTTTCTTTGATGCAATTCAAGATTCCTCACGTACCACCATCATTCCTCTGCACATTTCACATCTCCCTCCCCACGCGACGCACTCTTATTCAACAGGCGAGCCTGTTGACGCTCGAAAGTCCATCCACCGTCTCTCCAATTCTTACAATATACGACCTCAAGCATGCGCCCCCACATAATGTCACATGGGCCACAAAACCTTCGCGGGGATCGCTCATGCGGAAGATGAATGTAGAACTCGGTATGGATCTGAGGACGGAAGCGTTCGACTGTGGGATGTGGCATGTTGAGGAAGGAGAAGAGGATGATGAGATTTTGACGGTTGAGGTTGGTTGTGAAGGGACGGGATGCAGGATTGAGTATAGGGAGGAGGAATGCGATCCTTTACTTGGTGCGTCGATTTTCTTTGTGTTTCTAGTGCGACTCGTAAGCTGACGTCACCCCAGGTGTCGAGCTCATCTCTGTCGAGAGCTAGTCAAACTATCAATGTATGTAAGAGTTCATCTCATGTCGGGGGTTCCTAAGATGGGCCCAGAGTGTACAGACGAATACTCCCTACGCAAACTCCGGCCGTTTCTCCGTATTGAGACAGAAACACAGAAGCTTTGGCCACTGTCCGGTGTACACGGACCTGCTGCTTTCAGCTCCCCCAGCAGTGGGATGAATACGCAACGTAGAGTGATGATTATTTCTTGCATTCTAGGCTGGTCTAGTTCACAGAAATTCGGGGAATCGTCTCGTAGGAATACTCTTGCAGGCGACGAGCACTCGCGACCTGGTTTGTGCCCTGGCCTTCTTACCTGGCGTTTCCTCAATTTCGCTTTAAGTCGTGTTGCCCCGCCTTCAGAAGTGCGATGGCTGTGCTACCGATCGCGATGCCCCAAATCCTTGACTTCCCATTGGTTCGATGGTAATTCAACAAGGTGATCAATTCAGCTTCAGGCTACTGGTTCGGCAATCATACTGTGCCAAGGTCGAGTCGAAGCGAGTCCACAGCTTCTTACGGAATGCCACAAACCGCAACACTGTCGATGATCTTGGGACCCACTACGACGTGGATTGACATGTTGTGCCCACTACAACGACGGTCTCGGTGGTTCTTTTTGAACGTCTGCACTCTGCGAGTTTTAGGATACCCGGACTGGATCCAGGACGTTCGAGTTGACCATTTTTCCGGACGGCGAAAAATTTTGGCATCTACCTTTTGTCTTTCCTTTCTCCTCGCTAACCCATTGTAGCCTTGGCAAACAACTGTCTGTATCGCTTAGGATCCATTCAACATCCCAGTCGGCCATCACCATCTACATACGTATCGACCTCGTTCACCAGGTGCTGGGCTATAGCGAACACTACCAACAAATTTTCGGTCCATTGGCAAACCAAACTTCGCTTCGTGGTGCACGAGAGACACTCCGTCCTCTTTTCTACTCCGTGCACTGGGATTGGCGATGTCAGACGGTGAGCCATAGCCCCAAATGGACGCCCGATTTCGGAGCACGGCATAAGACACAGAGAGCACCTCTCTGCGCAGTAACATTCGAGTGCATTCACCAATGTGGAGACCACCGTCGCACAGGATCTTACGTGTGTCACGAAGAGGCTTGTTACTTCTTACCTGTGGTCCTCGAGGCGTTAACACTTTGTGGTGGGTATATAAGACAACAGCAAGGTGTCGAGAATTCTTTAGCAGTCTCCAACCCCTCAGGCATTTGTTTCTCACTAGATCAACGATCCACTTCGCCACACTTCCTATTTTCACGCCCTTCGCGATGCGGTTCAGTCTCCAATCCGCCGTTTTGACGGCCTTGGGTGCGGTCAAGGCCGTATCTGCCTTTGGCTACATGCCGAGGGATAGTGGGATCGATTTTGCGGATTACCCTTACCAGGCTCCTGGGCCCAATGATTTGAGGTCTCCTTGTCCTGGCTTGAAGTAAGTCTCGATACTCCTTTTCCTTGCTTCCCGCTCCAGGATACATCACTGACTTGAATGGCCTGCCCGCAGCGCGCTCGCCAACCACGGTATTCTGCCGAGAAACGGAAGCAACATCACGATTCCTATGATACTCCAAGCTGGAATCGGTATGTCCTGTTCATCGTTGGAGCTATCACATTATGATGCTCATTGGCACTGGAACGGTTGTAGACGGATATAATGTGCAGAACGATGTTTTGTTGTTGGCTGCGAAAGTTACGTTGCTCGTTAGTACCGAAGTAGATAACTTCTCGCTCGACGATCTAGACATGTACGTATCGCTATCTTCCTGCCCTCTCCTGCATTATACGGCTTTGTCTTATTGACGTTTCCGTGGATCTTCTGCCACCATAGGCACGAAAACGTTGAGCACGACGCTTCCGTCTCCCGCTCTGACTACTATTTCGGCGATAACCACTCTTTCAACGCCACTCTCTTCAACCAAACGCTCGCACAGTCCAACCCCGGTGTCGACTACTATAACGCTACTTCTGCTGGGCTCGTCCAGAAGGCGAGGCTCGAGGATTCCATGGCTAGGAATCCGAATGTGACTAGCACGAGTAAGGAGTTCCTCATCAGGACGAGGGAGTCGGCTTTGTACTTGTCCGTCATGGGTAATGCGACTACCGGCGTTGCACCGAAGGAGTGAGTCCTGTGCTCCTTTCTTCCCTCCATTTCCCTCTGCTCCTCCTCGCCAGACTTTCCGTCGACATAATCGAAGTATCTACTGACGTCGAATCGGTCAAAATAACCACATAGATACGTCAACATCTTCTTCCGCGAAGAACGCCTCCCCATCGCCGAGGGCTGGAAACGCTCCGATGTCCCTATCACGTCTGCTCTCCTCGATCCCTGGTCTGCCACCATCCAGAACCTCTCGGATTGGCAAGGCCCCACTCAGGATTACTCGGACATCGTTATTTCTCCTGATGGAGGGCTCCAGACGCTTCTTTTCCCTGGGGATGGGGATGGCCAGAATGGGCTCGCCTAGTGGCGTTTGCGGTTGAGAGACGGTCGAAACGGAGGATGAATGGAGGACTGTCATATTTATTCTGAGTGGACCTCATCTTTGTGGGAGTCTTTGGCTCTCGATATCGGATACATCCTATGGACTCATTGGACAATAGGGCTCATATCATGATGTTACTTTAATAGCTACATACGTCGAGGCTGTTAATTGTTAGCTGTGATATTGTTTCCGCTTGCGCTCTTATTACTTTCGCTTCGTTCTCGGTGGCACTATTCTCTAAAGCCGGTATGATGGTCATAGGGATTATTACACCACAGCCATCCCGCGAAAGACGATTCTTTCGATGGGTGTGAACCCGGCCACACAAGCTATCAAGTCGTATTACGCTAACCAGAAGAATTGCGAGTTTTTGATCCTCGTTTTTCATTTATCGCCGCTGTTTGGCGGCGCACAAGCAAGCCTTGCAGCGTACGCGAATTTGAGTCCGCGACATCACGATGTTTCACCCGCCAGAAACCCTTAGTACTCTTCTATAGAGTAGGCTGGTTGTGAACCGTAACGTCGCTGTCCAATCTCATTCGACTTCCATTATACTTCATGAGACGTCGCGATCAGCTACTACATAGTACCAATATAATACTGGTAAATTCAGGGGGCAATAGCCGCCAGAACGTTCTTGGGATTCCAATCCGGCCACAATCCGTTCGACAACTGCTCCGGCTTCCCGACCAATCCCTGCCCAAGGGCCCACGACAAATGGATATAACTGGAAAAGTCGCTCGCATCGCTCGCTACCGCTTCATTCAGCTCTTTTTCGGATTTGTAGGTGACATCGATTTTCTTGCCGGTCTTCTTCTGGTAGGTTTCAAAGACTTGGTTGAAGGACTGTAAGAATTATGAGGCGTTAATCATATTAGATGTTGTGTCTCTCGAAAGACTGTGGCTATCATAATAAGACTACTGGACTTACAGCACGTTCGCCTTCGATGCGGAAGGTCTGCCACTCGAGCTTGGAAGCAGGGAGGCTCGTGAGGACGTACGCCACGAAACGAGCGATGTCAGGACTGGTTGTCCACGAGATGGGAGTATTACCATCTCCGCCCACACTTGCCTTGCCATTCTTGATATCGAGGCCCAGGGCCCTGTCCATGGCACAACATCACCATCGTTAACAATAACAAAATACTTACAAAACGAGTAGAAGAATGAAGGTGGTGGTGATGTTGAAAGGAAGTAGAGAGATAATTCTGCTCACGGTATAAAGCAAAAGTCTGACCACGGGCCCGTAAAGAACAAAGCATAGGGAAGGCTCAGCTCTTTGCACTTCTTCTGGGTCGCGACTTTGAGCGCGAGAGCCCCGTGGTCCGGGATTGAGGCGTGATCATCAGTTGCATCCCCGAATTCCGTTGGGACGAAGAGTTTCACGCCTGCAGATTTGGCTGCTTCAGCAAGGGGGAGCTGAAGATCCATGGCACCCAGGCCGACGGTGGAGATGACGACCTCGACGTTGGTGAGAGCGGCGCTGAGGGAGGAGGGGGAGCTATAGTCAACTTCCTTGACGGTGGCACCCCTGGCGGCGAGGCTGGCTAGCTTGGAATTGTTCTAGGTGTATGCAGGTGTGCGAATGGTGAGCTAGAGTAAGCGATTGAGATCATGGGATGTGATGAGGTACACATACAGAACGAGTGAAGACAATTACGTCCTTGATGTTTGAGGAGCTCTTATATTTGAGGAGCTCATCGACAATAAGCGTACCGAGCCCACCGGCCCCAACGACGACAAAAGATGTGTACCCAGACATGTTATTCGGGAGGAGTGGTTAAGATCAGTCCAGGTAGAAATATATACACTCTAAGAACACCCGTTGGAGGATGAGTAAGACCGAGAGGGCAGAACAATGCTGACGAACCAGACAAGTCCGAGTCGGAGTCCTATACTGTGCCAGAAGTGAAAGGAGAATGGGTTGGAGCTGACCTTTCTTTGGTGGAATGAAGCTTTCTACGGGCATGTCAAGTGTGTCTGCGGCTCACCTAACGTGTAGTCTCTGAGACCGTGACAGTGCAGACCTTCAAGTGATCGAACTGTGGTGGTGAATACTGGTCGTTCAACAACTCGCAGCCAAATTTGAAGTGGACTCACAGCAAACCTATTGAAAGGTCAATCTTCTTGCTGAGTAGGGCATATACGTTGCGGTTCACATCAGTTTTGTGCATCATTCTGAAAGCGAAAAGTGTGAACTCAGAATCCCGGATGTGGTGCCGGATATAATATTCAGTTCACATTGAGTTTGGATTCTCGAGACGGGTCTACTTCTGCTCGCATCCCCGTTTCCTTGCTGACGACCTCGGATGTCGCGGTTCTTCTTGATACTACAGTACGCGGGCCTCCTGTCAAAGTGTATCTGTTGTTTTGAACCATGACAGCGAACAGGGAGAGGTAGGAGGAGGCCGCTCTCGCGTCGAGTTCACACAAACGTAAATTGAGCTATGACGCTCCAACAAGACAAAATTGTGAAATATTGAACCCGTCATGGGTTTAGTTCACATCGCATTTTGGAGATGTGAACCGCTACATATATGCCCTAGTATGGACCATAGTTCAATCCTGGGGCGAAGGAATCTGGAAAGAATTGAGCGGAAATAATCACAAAACTTGAAATCCAACGCGTGACGTCACGCGCCAAATCGGCAGGTGTGCCACATCCGAGCAGACAACAAAGCGCACAAAAGCTTCCAAGTAACCAAGGAATAACACCTCGCAAGCGGGGCAATGAATTGTAACGTACACAAATACAAGACTTACAGACCGAGGCTGGCTGAGAAGGCAGACAACGAGGTTCAAGCAAACGTATTGTGAGAGCGTGTATGGGTGGCGGGTAGGTTCAAACGAAACACGGGGGTGGGGGTGCAAAAAGAATAACGTAAATGGAGACGGAAATAAGGAGAATGGGCGAGAAATGTATATAAAAAGAACAGACAGAACCGAGAGAGATGGAAGAGCATAATGCAAAAGCATGAGCGTATCATGTAACCAAGCCAGACGAGATTGACCACAAGGGTGGAGAAAGATCAAGAAGACGTTGAGTACGTTAAAAAAAAAGAGCACGCGTTATGACTTCTGAGAGGTGGGGAGCACAGCTAGAAAAGCATGAACGAGCAAACGAGTTTGGGAAGGTAGACGAGTAGCGATGCTTTCGAAGCGGTTAGAAGAGGTGTGGCACCCAATTTATGAACCTACGTCGCCAACCCTCGTCAACACCACCCTCCTTTTCTTCTTGGGCGGCTCCTCCACGTTGTCCTTATCACCAGCAACGCTGCCCGATGCTGCAGCCTCGTCATCCGTACCCGAGACACTGATAGGTGTAGCCGGTGGTTCACTCCTCTTCAATGAATGTGTTGCGGAGATCGCAGGCGAAGCTGATGGCGGTAGGGAAACGGCAGAGACAGATGGCGTAGTGGCCGGAGTGAGGGAAGCTGAGGAGGTAAGAGGGACGGAGTGGTGCTGGGCGATAGATTGGAACTGGAGGGTTTGTTGTTGAGTGTGGTGAGCAGGCAAGATCTCGTCGAACACGACGATTGTGCAGTAGCCGTCTCGTGCAGAAAGCATGAGGCATTGACCGTCGGGCGACCTGAAGCCAAAAAGACTATGAGAACACAATCACGGCAAGGAAAAAGCGGGAAGGCATACCATGTCATATCTGTAAATTCGCGGTAATGAAGGTTCGTCAAGATACAAACAGGGCCGGACTGCTGCGTGTCGTAGATCGTCACCGTATCGGTCGTTGCTACGGCGTAAAGCATCCTGTACGGCAAAGAAAACACTGAGCCTGTACCAGGTGCGGGAGTAGGTGGCTTCGAAACCGCAGGACTGAAAGGTCGAACAGAGACAGAATCACTAGCAGAAGGTGCTGGCGAAGGAAGAGTGTGCAAAAGTCCTGATGTGCCCGTTGGCGCTGGGACGGCCAGTGGCGCTAGGAGTGCCGAGGAGTGCTTCAGCGGCGAAGGAAGAGGCGATATTGACTCGACAAGCGAGATTGCGGTGTGACTTGGAGTGGTCATGGGCGTTGCAGAGGGAGTCGTCCCGATGTCGACAGTGACATTATCTTCCTTTCCCCTCTCAACGGTGATCATCTTTGTATCTGTCTGAACATCAGGGCCGAATACTCCTGGACGAAGTTCATACAAAACGCTGGAGAATTTCACCGCAAGACTGGCCTTCTTATGGCCAGGGAGTTGCGCAATTGGCGGTCGCGCAAAGTTGGCGCGAGAGTAAATGAAGACAGAAGAGGTTGATGAAGGGTTGACAGGTTCTGTAGCCTGCGAGCCGCGCTTCCGACCACGGGTTGGCTCTTCGGACTTTGACGGGGACCGGGTAGACCCTGGGACCACTGATGGATCCTCAAACTGGCCAGCAGGAGTCAGAAGTAAACCTCCATCAGGACTGAACGTCAGTCGTCGATAGAATGTCGTGAAGCTCTCGTCGCCATATAGATTCCAGGTTGACGGGTTTGCCGAGGCAGTACGAATGGCGGGCAATGCGGGCATCGGTGACGGGGAGCGCCCATATCGCGCAAAGTTCGCAGGCGAGCTTGGCGCATTAGAGCCGCTGAAAGACGATCGTCTAGATGAGGATTGTTTATCCATTGGGGGAGGGGGGAACATAGACGATGAGCTGGCAACCGAAGTCGCCGGGGTGAGTGGGATGCCTACGGGCGAGGGGGAGGGTGCCATTATGGACGGTGTAGTGGCAGAAGTATCCTCCCGGTGCAACTGTTCGCTGACACTTGTGATGACGGATTCGGCATCGCTGGCGCTGGACTCTCTATGGAACATCCGGGGTCGGCTGGTGCTGGGGGTAGCGCTGTGGGAGCTCGGGGTGCGAGTATGGTGAGTAGTCATTCGAGAGTTCTTGCCCACAGCGTGAAGGTCAAGGCCCCCGTGCTTGGTGGAAACGCTGTAAACGTGCATGGACCGATCACTGCTTTGCGTAGCAATATATTCGTTGAGTGGATCCCATGCAACGCCCTGGACATAGTGATTGTGTTCGGCAATCTCGTTGACGCACTTGCCTGAAACATCTGCATCAGAAAACAGTCACGACTGAAGGATAGAGGTACTACCATCGATAGTGCTAAATACCCTGGCTACGTTATCTGTGCTGCCAGAAATTATATACTCCCCTGACGGACTCCAGGCAAGATCGTAAACCTGCATAGAGGTGCATCTTTGGATGCCAGACATGAGTAATGATCCATGTTACAGAAAATGTGCAATCGTACTTGAACGTGGTTCTTGGCTTCCAAAACTCCTTCTCCAGCTGCATCTCCTCTGGAGTCAGGTCGCTGCCGTAGACACCCGTGTTAGGAGACGAGGTTTGTGACCAGATAATAATCATGCCGTCTAGCTCCCATTCAATAAGATGCCCATAAGACAAGGGGCATAAATGCAACTCACCATCTCCAGCAGAAGCGATAAATTCTCCTTTAGATACGGCGGATGCATATCAGACTCCTGAGCGTCACGCACTGAAGCTAAAGTAGCGTACCGTTTGGACTGAATCTCACGACGTTGACAGGGGCTGAATGCTTGTTCAATGTCGCTAGATACTCTACCCTTGGAGGTCTCGCTTCAACTGCATCTCCAGGAGCGCTTTCCGTTACAACAGATGGTGGCAACATGTTGGGGTGAACATTCCAGAGCTGCCCACAGCCGTGTCAGCGAACTCTCCGCGTCGCATTTACATTGTCTCCCGAGCGAGATGACACGCACCCTGACATGATTATCTTCTCCTCCCGTGGCTAGCTTATAGGTCTGACGCGTAAAACTCCTTTCCCCGCCCGCGGTAGGACGCGCCTTCTTGAACGGTACGGGCTGGAAATCACACGTCGCGATTGGCTTGCCGTCGTGCCAGTGAATTTCGATACATTTAACGCGCATTTCCTGCCCTTGGATTTCGCTGAGAGTATGGCTGAGACCGTCGCAAAACTAACAAAGGGCGGACACAAGAAGGAAGAGGATATGGGGAAGTGAGAAGAGCCGTTTTGGCCCTCTTTGATCACTCGGCTTGGATTTGGGTTCGCGGCAGATTCCAGCTTTCGTTGTGGCGGCATGCCAATAGCTAGTGTGGCCCAACCTTCCATCCGACTCACCACTCAATTCTTTTCGTTGCTACCCCCACACGAAAGAAAAATGTAGTGGCAACACCGGCAACCCTAAAGCTTATCTGAGTGGGTTGACTCTTGTATACGCGCGCAGTAAAATTTCCCGGTATCCTGACAATGAGCTGCCGTTCTCCACGTCCTGGATATGGCAGATGTCGGATTCGAATGTCAGGGTACGGTATCAATAGCATATGCTAATACAAAATGTAGATCACAAAACCAATACTTTCGCAACGACGGGCAGAAAAACAAAAGCAAACTAGCCGAGAGAGCTCGCTCTCAGAGTTTGGGAGAAGCTTGACATTAACTCTGTACGCCCCTGTGGCGAGCTCGCGCTCTCGTCTGGCTGAGCATCGCCTTCGCCATAGATAACTGCAACATCCTTCATATCCTTTTGGAGGATTTTTGTAAGGTGTGCGAGACCAGCTTGCTCCTCAGCTAGAATCTGTGCAGGGTCGAGACGAAGAATCAGACATAACGACAGACGAGCGAAAGTAAGGAGAGCGGTAAGAACGAACCTGGACAATCTGTGATAGGCCGTCCTCGTCCACCACAGCCCACGAAACTCCCTGCTCATCGTTCCCGCTCTTTAGTGCGTTTAACGCCCCGACCAAGGCCCACATCTCGTTCAACCTAGCCACCAGTCTCCCCATCCCGCCGACTGCGTTCGCTCCTCCCCTTCGGCTAAGAACTTCACCCTCCATCTCCTCCAAAGCACCTCTTAACGCTTCTTCTTCAGGACGTATCGCGCTGCTTCTCAATGCGGGTATCAGCAGATGTAGGTGAGTGACGAGCTTGAGGAGCCTGTGCGTAAGCTGGGTCTGTGCAGCGATGGCTTTGTTCAAGCGTGGAGATGTGGAGAGGGCGTGGGCGGACGAGAGTTGGGAGATTCGTGATTGGAGCTCGGTCAGTGCTTTGGTGTGTTGAGCTGCCCGCTCGGCTTGGCCCTGTACACGAGCGTGGAGGTCGTCGAAGGAGGTAGCAAGGACGGGGATGAGGCTGTTCCGTTGGGATCAAACGATTGCAACACATGATACATAATGAAAGACACCGACCACGAAGGATCAGGATTTTCCCTGACAGCTTTTTGCCACGATTCTTCGTTCGTGGCATTTGCAGGACGACAGTAAAGTTGTACTTCCTCGGGGAGGACAAAGTTATAGAAGTAGTGCTGGATAGAGTCGGGATAAGAAACTAGCAATGAAAACCGACAAAAGAACGCACCTGGAAACGGTTATTCGGACTTTGCGGATTCCAAGCCTCCACTATGGCCTCTATCCTCTGCTGAAGGTTCAAGAACTGAGATTGAGCGTCTTGCTCTCTCTGACCTGCCGCACTTGTTGGTAGCCGTGAGGAGAAAAGGCCAGTGTTTGAGGTCGACGCGCCAAGACCCGTAAGTCCAGGCAATGTGCTCTTCCCCAACAAACTCGAACCCAACAGACTGGAACCAAGACTCGAAGATTGTGACTGTTGCTGGGGCTGCTGCGAAAGGCTGCCAAAGAGAGAGGTCGGTTGCTGCTGTGCCTGATTACCGAAAAGAGAAGTGGACGGCTGTTGTTGATTGGATTGTCCGAAGAGGGATGGTGTTGCGATACCGCCACCAGGAGCCGCTGTGTTCGACTGCATCGTACTCCCGAAGGGACCTCCGCCACTCGTACCCGCGGTCTTGTTCCCGAACAGTCCTCCGCCCGACTGATTCGAAGTTGACGCACCGAACAAATTTCCTGTGGCGGGCTGCTGCTGATTGTTCGCGGTGTTAGTGGTGGATCCGAACAATCCTCCTGCCGCGGGCTGATTCGTGCTTGTGTTCCCGAATAAACCGCCACCCGTATTCGTTCCACCCCCTCCCGCATTACTATTTCCGAATAACCCACCACCCGTTGTCCCATTCGAATTGGTCCCAGCGCCAGCATTACCAAACAGACCCCCACCTATCGTCCCAGGCTGGCCTTGGTTTTGTTGCTGATTATTCGAGGCTCCAAACAATCCTCCACCGGGTGCCCCCGTTCCTGCTCCTGCTCCCGTAGTACCGCTCTGCTGATTCTGAGGCTGCGTGTTCCCAAAAAGGCTACTGCCTTGGATTGCGCCCGTGTTAGTGTTCGTGCCTGTAGTCGAGCCGAAAAGTCCACCAGGTTGGGCTGGCAGCGGTGTGTTGTTACTGGTGGACCCGAAGAGACTGTTACCGGCTGGCTTGTTACCAAAGAGGCTGTTTCCAAACGCAGACATTGTGATAGAACAATGGCAGAGCTGACCCGCGGACTATGAGTCTACATAAGAAAATACTGGGTCAGCGCATCTGTCCAGACATGGGGCGAGCAGTAAGCACACCTACTCCTGATCAACCTGGAGATCTCTTAAGTAATCGCCTATTTCTCTGAGACTATGATGAACAACCTACGACTATGTCTATCTAGATGTATCTGGCCGGGCCACAGCAGGAAATGATGAACGCGTCGAAGACAAAAGCCGAACTTTGGTGGCACGCGTCGTTCAACGCGTGTACCCCATATTAGGGTTAGGGCTAAGTTACGAACTTGCGAAATGAATTGTTTCCTTGTTGATCAACTTGATTCCATCTATGATCCCTCTGTCCATTTGAAGATCAACTAAGCTAGTAATGTCGCTTCGGAAGACCGTACTGTACCCTGCTGTGTTTTTCAGTAAAATCCAATCTCCGTAATTGCTTCAGGGGTTCATCAACAGGGCTCAGTAGGTCTCAGTACGCCTCTGTCAAGTCTCAATGATTCCTCTCCTGCAGAATGTTTTTGAAAAATATCCTATGTCGAAATTGGGAACAATGGCTCTGTTGGAGCGTTCCTGAAACATCACGCAGTATGTTCTATCCGCCTTTTCTTCCTCTTGGGTTACCTCCAATGTCAGATGGCGATGTTGACCCCGCTTCTCCCGCTTTACTTCCGTCCATGCATGCGTTTCTGGCGACTCCGATTTTTTCCCCGAAGAATTTTGGAAATGGATCTGGTCCAAGTGCTCCGCATGAAGAAGGAGCATTGCCGGTACTCTAGCTGTTCTTTTGTCCTTCTGTCAACAGATTGGGTGATTCGTTGGTGGGACAGGTATTGAGAGATGTCTGTGCTCCTCTTGCCCGCGCTTTTCCTGATCCGCTGCTATGCGCTATCGTATGGGCCCTGTGGCCCAAGGGCATAAGCGGTTTGATTGTCGTTCTCGCTCCTCTCATCATCTTTCGCTGTGCGATAGCTCCAAGTGTGTTTACTATCGCCTATTTGGGTTTCCTCGAGGCAGCTGGGCGCACAATTGAATGACGTTGGCCTCTTCACAAATCCTCGGACCAAAGTTTGACATTGTCTGTTCTACACGCCACCTAACTGTTTCAGTCCCTCTCATCCATGCCGCTCTGTGCCACCGTTCTCAACACTGGACACCCCCTCACATGTTTCGCGTTTAGTCAGAGAGCACTCACCACTCAGAATTGCATCGAAAATCACAGATTTCACCGCTCGTCATCTGCTTAAACAGGTATTGTTCTCGTTCTTGGACGAGGATTGCAGCCTGTCACTGTCACTTCAGAACAGTTTCCCGTGGACTCGCTTCATCGCGAGAGGCACATTTCCAGTATCGGTATCGTATAAAGGAAAGCATCGTTTTCAGGGTTGTTTTCCTGCCACCTCTATCTGGTTTCAGAAGCCTCACCAATACGCAGACTCCTCTAGCCATGTCTCAACAAATGGGTACGAGCTTGGCCATGTTTCCGTCTCTCAGTTCATATACGAAACCATAATATTTCGTTGTTATAGACTATGTTATCGAACTGAACAACTATTGCCAGTCGAAAGGCCTGGTAGCGAATTGGAACCACCGGGACATTGGTACGGGACATCAGCCCCGACACGTGATGACACTCATACGTGAGTTTCCCTTCGCTTGAGCACTGTCACAATGTACTGAAAATTAACAGTCAACAATGAGCCATGCACGACGGGAGAAGGCGGTCGCATAGGTGCTGCTAAGTCTGAGGCCGCCCGTCAGTTTTTGCAGAGATACGTTTGGAGGCACTAAAGCTCCGGTAAGTCATTCGTCCTTGTCATATCCCGATATGATGTCTGAACGAACTTTTAGTCCTATACCTTCGACGAAGACCTTGCAGTACATTTATGGGCCCTTTTTGCGCGCCTGTGTTTACGGGTCTCGTTATGTAGCAATAGACTAAGCCTTGCAGTTGTATAACATTATTATGGACCTACGACCGGTATCACGCCCGAGAAGAGGACCTTATAGCCGACTGAGGCTAGGCCCATCCCCCTTGTGCGCATATAACCTTATAAGTCGAAAGCACAGTGCTAATGTGGATTGTGGCACTCGACAGTAACCACTCCGTCGATGCCATAGCTGCATGGACAGTATACACTGGCAGAAGGTCCGTTTGATTATGCCTTTGTCGCTCTTCAAAATGCTTCTGCCACCGAGTTATGTCTACGACTCTTAAAGAATTTCGGGTGTTCAAGGTTTAGATACCATCATACGTGATTATTTACATGAGGGAACATGACCTTTGTGCGACCCTGAAAACGGACAGAGGGCGATAGTGCCTATCGCCACGAAATATAGCCTTAGTCTAGTATCAAGACGCAACGCCATTCGGGCATATTTCTTCATATCGGACCTTAGTAGTGCTGTTGCCCGGCGGTTTGTAGCTATATTATGAGCACTGAGTCGAAATACCTTGCTATTTTGTCCTCTTCTACCAATTCTAGCCGCACAGAGAGCCTTAGGGGTTGAGGTCGATTGATATATTTGGTCTCTCCGAGTAAGCTACTTTCTATCCATATGGCCGGCGTTTTTGCGCCCGAATCCCCAGACACCGCGCCAAAGCATATGTATAAATACGGACGTAGTTGCCATCGCGGATACATCAGTCGCCTTGGCTCAACAAAGGTTGAGATGGCCTCACTATTCATATGTAGACCCTCGAACTCGGCGCCATAGTACTCCACTTAGGCAGTACCTGATTCGCCCAGAATATGTTGATACCCTGTGCAGTGAAAACTGATAAATTCCGTGCTCTTTCAGCTTATCGATTCATTTTTACTGCGTAAGTCGCCGTGACATCTTGAGGAGGAAGGGCCACAGTGGCGTCAAGTAAGAACGACAGTCATAGGCCACGTGGTCGCGTTAACTTCCGGGCCATCCGATCTTCTCCGTCGAGTTCCAGCTGTCCATCATTGTAAACTACCATCTTACTTGCTTCAGTTCGCCTCAACAGCGGCTTGACGCGGCGGCCGCAAGATATGTCACGGTGAAAGGAAGTCTTATCGCTTAACGAGTTGATTCAGGTGTAGTGCATTAAGAGTCGTAAGCGTATCCCCACTCGTTTCTATATTGTCGTGGCTACTTCAAGTCTCCATGTAATGATCTTACTCCCGGGCCAGTTCTACCGTCCCGGACCACGTCGATATGCTCAATTTCACTGGTGGTAAACCTGTGAAGGCCACCTCAAAACTTACTGACGGTCATTTTCGACGTCGTCGGCAAAGGTGCGATAGCACCCTCCTACCTGTACGTCCGAATCTATTGGTTGCTATTTAAATTGGGCTTAGGAAGTTAGGCAATGCCACCCTCCACACTTCCATGGAATCGGAGGCCGCCACCCTTGTGGCGGTTGGCGACTAACGTGTTTGATAGTATAGGCGATATCAGTGATCATCACGCTCCAGGCTCTCGCTGTGCGTTACCTGATTCTGCGACAATTGGCGCCGGTTTCTCGCATGAAGTGCTGTTGGCTCTGACGCACCACGGTATTGTTAACTGTAACGGGAGCAAATAGCGAGAGCATCCCGAGAATCAACCCGACAATTGCATAAGTTCACATGCCTCAGAGCCAACGGGTACGTCGATATGAGCGCGCACTCCCCGTCACTATGAATCAACTTAGCTCGGGGATTGCCTGGGATGATTTGTGCTGTGACACAGTGTTTGTTCCGCCATTTTCTGTTCAAAGTAAGCTGCATTATAAGCATTATTTCATTCTGGACCCGACTCTCCTTCTTCTTCTTTTGGCCATGTCAAAGAATCATCCGCTCGAACACTCGACTAGATGATTATTTGATTTCGCTGAATAATTCGGGCTGCGGGGACCCAACCATGCGACTTGTAAGTTATGATGCTAGAATGATTCGTGCATAACTCCATGATAATCCTTGCCGGTACCGTCTTCTTTATTGACTTCCGTCCCGCGTTGTGCATATGCCACTTACGATCCGTTGCGGGACGTTGTCCACGGTGTTGTATCCAAACCCGATGTTGGTGAAACCTATCCCAATAGCATTTGGGGGCAACTTCATCATGTCTGAAGCCTGTGCAGTTGACCTTGTCATCGTATTTTCTGAATTTTATTATACACGCATCTCTACATGAGCGACCATACTCTGTCCAGACCCATCGTCAATCCTATCGAACAATGCATATGCAGCTTGTAGATGTATAGCTGCGATGTATTCGCTTCATTTTGACGGGAGCTCAGCATGAAACTGTCTTCGCGCATCATCACGGCTTTCCAACACTGTTACTTCATACTGAGAGGGGTTATGCTCTCGAGCATGCCATGATCCTGCAATGCATGAACTTGTTTTACCGGCTTGTCGTTCTCGCCGTTGTCGGTATAAAAGACACGAGAAAAAAAAATCAATATCCAACCCATCCACCAAGCTCTCATACCACCTGTGCACGCACGACGACCAGTTTCTCTAACATCTTTTGAATCGTCCTTATATGTCGTTCAACAGGGGTAATGCTCTACTTTGTTATCCGAATCCCAGCTGCTTAATCGTTGCTCTTGTCTTCGTAGATTTCACAAATGAACTCAACGAATATCTTCAGGACTTCAGCCCTAGCAAAGTACAGAATTGGGTCTTCGGTCAGACAGGGCCTGACAATTGTCCAGAGCATACTGCCATTTTAAAGGGTGAGTAACTTTCTCCACATCTAGCGATTACATGCCTTGAACAAAATGTGACACGTACAGTCGATGGAGTTCAAGAAGCGATAGGGACTGGTAACTCCAGAAATGCTGCGAAGAAGAACGCGGCGCAGGTTTATCTAGCATCTGTGGGAAGAGGCTAATGTGAGTTTGTACTCCTTTTTCACAACACTACTATCAATGTCTCTATAATGCATTTATCACATTTTAGATTGACTCGTGATCCTGACGCCTGCCTGTGCACGGAGTTGCTGCTATTCTATGTTCCTTGAGTGCACCTGTATAGTATAGTATTTATTTGGATGAAGGATCCTTTGTATCAGACTATGTGAAGGCCCGATGAAGAAGAAGGAATGAGATTGTTGAACCGCTCTCTACTGAGGTACTCTACGGTGTCAGAAAGCTAGAACTTTTGGTCAGCTATGTCTCTCCTTTCTGATCCGTCTCGCTGTTTGCAAAGATCGATACTATATAAGTGACGCTCACTAATTGAGTTGTCTCATACTTCCCGTATCTTCGAACGGAGCGCGGAGGCAGGTAGTAAGAGTTCTTGAACTTGTTGGGGCGAAGTTGGGTTGTGTTATTGCTTTTTCCGTATTCGCATCTTATACATGATCGAAACTCATCACCGACAAAAATTTGGTGTGTAGTAAAACACAATTGGCGATAAATAACGACAAGATATGGCGTACTATGTACTAGGTTAAAACACACACGAAGCAGTGGCCGCTGCTTATAGTAACTTAGAACGTGACCCACTCGTTCCGTTTTCTTCCGCACATGCTTTCGTCTGTCACCCGCATGCACCCGATTAACCACGGCGCTTCCTTGCTATTGACGGTCAACAGCTTGGGCATCTTCTTTTCTCTGCTGCGTCTACCGGTCAAGGACTCATCGTGATTTCCGCCTCAAATCATCTTCCTATCCGCCCTCTTGATCCACTGAGCTGGCTTGCTGCATCTTTTACATGTCTTACCACGCAATAGAGGCTCTGAACTCTGGCACCGATCTGGGATGCCGACAAATCCGATGGCTGTGATTATTCTCGCGCATCAGAATATGGGATGATTTGGCGTTCCTTCCTCCTCCCAGCAGTAACTCTCAAGGTCTCTGGCCAGCGTTTTCACGAATTTGAGTGATATGTTATCATAACTCTATAAACGGGCCATGTACAACTCAAAAGGGCCTCTCAGGCTGTTTTACTCTTACGCGGTCACTGCTGACCTCGACACTTTCCGCATAGAACAGTGGCAAGAAGGCCGGTATGAACATCGGAAGCCCGCCGCCTTCTTCTGCCATTCTCGGACGCTGCTTTCCGATTCTCATACAGTCATCTTTCTCATGTTATCTTGTCCTTGTATTCCACAGGCGTTGGCCGCCACAATCCAGGACTACTGGTCTTTGTTCCTACTTTCTGCACATCCTGGTGTCCCTTCCTCGTCATAGCATATAAACGGCCCAATGACCGACATATATCCGGGGAATTCTTGACGCGAATACGCTGGGAAGCCATTATTCTTGCTATCGCCAATCTTCTCTTCGTGTGCCTCTATCGTACACTTGTATGCATAATTGTCGATCCTGCATCTGAGATCCTGCACACCGTCCATCAGCAACGATGATCATATCCGGTCAAATTAATGGTAATTTCATCGAGTACATCGGTTAAGCAGAAGTTTTGTAGCGCTAAACTCGCACCAGTTGGTCTACATAAACCATCTCTAGTTTGTGTTCCATCTCTGCTACTCCCTCGGGCCACGTAATCGCTCTATCTACGGATATAGAATCTATATATAACTAGAGTCCGCACAGATTTACCTGGGATGTGCATCAGCTATTCTCACAGCTGAGCACTGTCTTTCGTTATAAAGGGCTCTACGAGGAACCTGCATACCAGCCTTCTCCTGCGATAACCACAGCTCCGAATCCGACCATGTTTTCACCTGTATATCTCGTCTCTATCATTCTTGCCACAGCCTTGAATGTCGCCGCCTCGCCCACTCACGTCGTCCGCGACTCACTGGTTACTCTCCCTTTTGCGAAGGTTGTCAATGTCACCTCCCCGGCCCATCTGATTAAACACGGTCAAGCTCGTGCGAGACTACTTCGTGACAAGGCTCGGGCTAAGCAGCAGGGACTGAGCTCAGATGCTGTTGTGAGCGCACCTGCAGAGAACGAGGCTGTTTCATATGTCGCCAACGTCGCGGTGGGAAGTCCTGCCACAACCTGTGCGTGTACTTTGTTTATCTTCTTCTTACTACTCTCTTATCTGACCTTGGTCTTCCCTCCAGACCAGCTCATTGTGGACACCGGTACGATGTTCCTTAACTTCTATCGATATTCTCGCGATATTGATGCATTCCGAACAAGGCTCTTCGAACACATGGGTTGGTGCGGGAAAAGCTTTCGTTAGGACAGGGACAAGCACCCCGACTATCAATGCTGTGGTACGTCATTCAATAGAGCTTGCGAGGTCCTTATGTTGTGCTCAAGCTGTACTTATCAGTCTGTGACATACGGGAGTAAGTGCGGTTGAATCTCGTCAGATTCCTTCTGCTTCACATTCCTTTCCGTCAAACCTGCCCAAACCTCGTTCACTATCACATATTGACTGCATAATATTTCTAGGTGGCTCTTTCTTCGGGCAAGAGTTTACCGACCAAGTAAGCCTAGGGTGAGCCTCGGCGTTGTAGTCTTTCCTCGAAAAGCTTACAGAAAGCTTACTAATCTGGTCTCGTAGGCCTGGGTTGACCGTCACCGAACAGTCCATAGGAGTAGCGGAGGAGTCCACAGGTTTTGACGGGGTGGATGGTATTATAGGAATGTGAGACTTTCGTTTTATCGCAACACAAACCAGTCAAATGATGCCATTCTTCTTCAGTGGTCCTGTTGACCTTACCGAAGGTACCCTCATACCAAGTTTCTTCTCAACCATCCCCACCGTGACGGACAACCTGTTCACTCAAGGTGAAAAAAGTTGTATACTCATCCATGGGCAAAACTGATCTACGATACACCTAGGAGCAATCTCCGCTCGCGAAGTTGCTGTCTCCTTTGAGCCTACCACAAATCTAACGAATGTAAACGGGGAACTCACGTTCGGTGGGACTGACTCAAGCAAGTTCACTGGGGATATCACCTTCACGTTAATGCCTTTCTTTACGTTGATTTGGAGAGGGACCTAACATTATCCAACAGGCCAGTCACCACGACTTCTCCTTCGAGCGAGTTCTGGGGAATAGATGAGTCCATCACCTACGGTACTGATGGTGCCTCTATCCTCAGTACCACTGCAGGAATAGTAGGCAAGTTACACATTGCCGTCGGTCAAACCTTCTCCGGCTAATGATGAATCGTTAAGACACCGGCACCACGCTCATCCTGATCGCGAGGTCTGCAGTTTTTTTTTTTTGGTAGGACTTACCGGATGATCCCTGACGATCGCCCAGTGATGCTTTGGCTCTCTATGAGACTGCGACAGGAGCGGTACCCGATAGCACGACAGGTCTCCTCCGGCTCACGACTGCTCAGTTCGCAAACCTCCAACCGCTGAACTTCATCATCAATGGCGCGACCTTTACTCTTACTCCTAATGCCCAGATCTGGCCTCGTGCTCTCAACAGGTAAGACGAACTCGCTAGAAGTAGCACTCACTGCTAATATTCGATGATTTTACAGCGCTATTGGTGGCACGGCGGACAATGTATATGAAACGGCCTTCGGGCTAAACCTAACTCTTTATTTCTCGGCGTTTCTAAGGAGTGTACGCGCCTTGCAGGCATTGTGGCCCCAGGTGCCACTTCGACGATGGAGATGTGGGATGGATAGAGGGATAGGCACGTGACCAGTCATGTGGTAGGCACGTGATGGCATGTGACCTTGTGGTCGTGATGTAGGGACATGTGACCAGGTCTGGAACGTTCTAGAATAGTCTTGTGCATGTTGACTCAGCGGTTTGTACCCATTGTGCCCATTGCTGGACCCACTGGATATCCATGAAGGATTCCTGTAGTGTTCACTCGTTAGTGTACAGTGAGGACGTGCCCTAAAGGGTCAGCCCAGGATGTATATAAGAACCACCTGTATCGTAGAATAGTTCCCTAACTCGATCTCCTTTGCTTCTCGCCATACTCAGTGTGACCTTGTGTCCTGG